CTAGCTGAGAAGCAGCCGCCGCCGGAACTGACAAAATACAAATGACTGTACAAGACGAGAAAAACCAATCTGCTGCTGCTGCTGCAGCTGCTCCCCGCTGCAGTTGTTGCTGCTGCAGTTGCTGCTGCGACCTGCAGCAGCTGCTGCTGCTGCAGTTGCTGCTGCGGCCTGCACCAGCTGCTGCTGCAGTTGCTGCTGCGGCCTGCACCAGCTGCTGCTGCTGCTGCTGCTGCTGCTGCGGCCTGCACCAGCTGCTGCTGCGGCCTGTACCAGCTGCTGCAGTGGTTGCTGCTGCTGCTGCGGCCTGCAGAAACCATTGCCGCTGCTGTTGCTGCTGCGGCCCGCAGCGGCAGCTACTGCTGCTGTTGCTGCTGCTGCTGCTGCTCCAGTCTGAAGCAGCCGCTGCTGGAAAGAATCCAGAACAGCAGCAGCAGCAGCAGCAGCAGCAGTTGCTGCTGCTGGAGGCACTGCAGCAGCAGCACCTGCTCTCTTCCCTGCAGCAGCTGCTGCTGCCTCTGCAGCACCTTGAAGCAAAACCCTAAACACTCTTCAGGCCGCAAGGCGGTGGCCCCAGTTCATCAAACCCGTGTAAACCCTAAATTAGGGTTTAGCACAGGGGCCGCCAATAAGCCTGTGCAGGCGCTGTAAACCCTAAACCCTAAACCCTAAACCCTCATTGCACCTCTTTGGGCGGGTTGGGAAGGCCTCCGCGACTTTTCTCGCGAGCGGGGCAAAGCGCTGTTTCCCAAACCCTTTCCCTCTGCGTCAAACCCTAAACCCTAATTTAGGGTTTAGGGGAACTGGCTGTGATCGCAGTCACATATGCGGCTTCGCCATCGGAGTCTTATTCCGCGTGCAACCTCGGAAAACCCGAAGCCCTCGGATTTGGGGCCAAACCCTAAATTAGGGTTTGGCCAAACCTCAATTCAGGGTTTGGGGCGGTGCCGGAGGGGTTAAGGAAGTATTCGCGCATTAGTGGCGCGTCTGTCGCGGGACCCCCGTAGCGCGCGTTTGGAGAAAACCCTAATTTAGGGTAACCGTTTGGGATTAAATCCCAAATCCCCTTCCGGAAGAACCAGTACTACCGCATCTTCAGGAGCTTCCTTTAGAGAGGCAGAGGCAATCTTAGACGAGAAAGCACAACGCGCAAACCCCAACTGAGGGCGTTTGGGCAAACCCTGATTTAGGGTTTGCCAAACCCTAATTTAGGGTTTTTGCAAACCCTAATTTAGGGTTTGGGCAAACCCTAATTTAGGGTTTTTGCAAACCCTAATTTAGGGTTTGGCAAACCCTAATTTAGGGTAACCGTTTGGGATTAAATCCCAAATCCCCTTCCGGAAGAACCAGTACTACCGCATCTTCAGGAGCTTCCTTTAGAGAGGCAGAGGCAATCTTAGACGAGAAAGGACAACGCGCAAACCCCAACTGAGGGCGTTTGGGCAAACCCTGATTTAGGGTTTGCCAAACCCTAATTTAGGGTTTTTGCAAACCCTAATTTAGGGTTTAGGGGAAGGCCTTCTTGGTCATGATGGCGTAGAAGTCCTCGAAGGAAATCTCTCCGTCTCCGTTGGAATCCGCTCTTTCGAGCATTTCTCGCAACTCCTCTTCACTCAAACCCTCGCCAAGTTCTCTCGCAACTCTTTTTAAATTCTTCAAAGTGATGGAGCCGGTTTTGTCGTCGTCGAACAAGTTGAAGATCTTCTGAATGCCCTCGCGGCTTTCCTTGTCGCCCTGCGCGCAAACCACGATTTAGGGTTTAGGGTTTAGGGTGCGGCGCCGCGGGCGCGCCTTCCGCGGCCCCGCCGCGGGCCCAGGGCTTAGGGCTTAGGGTTTAGGGTTTAGGGTTTAGGGTTTACGAGCTTGGCCGTGATGGCGTCCAGGAACTCCTCGAAGTCCACGGGGCCCCCCCCGTCCCGGTCCAACTCCGCTATCATCTGAAACACCGAAGGGTTTTTGGACTCAAACCCTAGGGTTTGCATGGCGGCTTTGAGTTCTTTAGGGTCTACAGTTCCGCTGCCGTCAGTGTCGAAGAGGGAAAAGGCCTCGCGGACTTCTTCTATTTCATCTGCAGTCAGTCCGGGCCTTTCCACGCGCCTCCGGGGCCCCTGGGGGGCCCCCCCGAGGCCTCCTGCGCGCTGCATCGCGAGGGTTTAGGGTTTAGGGTTTAGGGTTTAGGGTTTGGGGTTCGGGTTTGGGGGCTGGGGGCTGGGGTTGGGCGCCGCCGCAGGCAGGGGCTGGGCTGGCGCAACCGAGATGGCCGGGAGGTGCAGGCCTTTTCAGCAGTGAAAGGGGCCACACGCAGCGAACTAAACCCTAAACCCTAAACCCTAAACCCTAAACCCTAAACCCTAAACCCTAAAGCCGGCGCGCGCGCACACCGCAACTCGCCAGCCGGTCGGCCGCCGCTACCTGCGCACTTGGGGTGTACAGCCACCTCGATCGCACAGTCTCGAGCTCCGCAACAAACGCCAATTTCATTTCTTTTCTTTTATTTCTTTTTCTTTTTTAAAACTCCAAAAAGCGACACTTTTCAAACTCCAAGTCCTGCCAGACGCGCGGCCGCGGCCGCACGCGCACCAGCCCAGAGCCGGGGCCCTGCGCAGCAGCAGCAGCAGCAGCAGCAGCCGCTGCTGCTGCTGCTGCTGCTGCTGCTGCTGCTGCTGCTTTTTAACAAACTTTACTCTTTTGGATTTACTTTTCTCAAAACCCTTTTCTTAAAAGCAAATTCTTTTCCCCAGTAGACTCCCACGCGCGAGCCGCCGCCAGGGGGCCCTCAGCTGCCTTCCGCAGCACTGTTCGGCTCCGCGGACGAGGGTTTAGGGTTTAGGGTTTAGGGTTTAGGGTTTAGGGTTTAGCGGTTTTCGCAGCAGCGGACGTTGCAGGCCTCTCTACAGCTTCGGAAGCCTTGCCAGCAAACCCGGAAAACCCCCAGCCCCAAACCCTAAACCCTGCCTCCTCTCCGCCGTGAGGGTTTAGGGTTTAGGGTTTAGGGTTTAGGGTTTAGGGTTTAAGCGCCGCACATGCGACGCTTTGGGCTGCGCTTCTCGTCCGCCTCTTCTGGAGTTCTCGGCCGGGAGACTTTGTCTCTTTGGCGGCTCAGGGTTTAGGGTTTAGGGTTTAGGGTTTAGGGTTTTCGTCATCGTAAGAAATGCCCTGCGAAAAGTGTGAAGCCAAGTTCACAAAGCTCGTGACGCCCGACGTCAAAGAAGGTAGGGTTTAGGGTTTAGGGTTTAGGGTTTAGGGTTTAGTTCTCTGGACTTCAAGAGGTGCTGCTAGGAGGTGCATGCGTGTCTTTGGGCGTCTTCACACGGTTTAGGGTTTAGGGTTTAGGGTTTAGGGTTTAGGGTTTGCTGCGTGCAATTCAGGGTCAAAGCGCATAGTGGGCGTCAATAAACTCATTGAAAAAGCGACTAAAAAGGACAAGTCAGCGATATGGAAATTAGGGTTTAGGGTTTAGGGTTTGGGGTTTAGGGTTTAGGGTTTCGCAGCTGCATCCGAGGGTTCGCGGTTTGGGGCTTAGGGGCTCGAGTAGCGGTTTTATTCCAACCTTGCTTTCTGCTGCTTCACCAGGGTTTAGGGTTTAGGGTTTAGGGTTTAGGGTTTAGGGTTTAGGGTTTGTTGTTTTCAGATTGGTGATTGTGGGGTCTAAGTGCAAAGTCTGCAAGACTGCGCTGCACATGAAGGGAAAGTACTGCGCACCGTGGTACGTCAGGGTTTAGGGTTTAGGGTTTAGGGTTTAGGGTTTAGTGAGTTTGCTGTGTTGCTACTAGGGTTTAGGGTTTAGGGTTTAGGGTTTAGGGTTTAGGGTTTAGGGTTTGTCTGCAGCGCCCACATAAACGGCCGCTGCTGGATGTGCGGCAAGCGGATTGTGGATGTGAGCAAACACAACATGAGCCTCGTCTAAACCCTAAACCCTCGTCCAAACCCTAAACCCTCGTCCAAACCCTAAACCCTCGTCCAAACCCTAAACCCTCGTCCAAACCCGAATCACGAGGGTTTGTCAGGGGCGTTGACTGTTGTCCATAGTCGGCGCTTTTCTGTAAACCCTAAACCCTTTTGAAATCTCTAAACCCTTTCGTTGCTTCCCAAACCCTTGTTTGTGTTTGTAAACCCTTGTCTTGACCCAAAACCCTCAATTAGGGTTTTGAAAACGAGGAACTCCCTCAACTCCAGTTGGCAAATTTTTCTGAAACGGCGCAAGGCTCTCAGGGCTTAGGGTTTGGGACCGAGGGTTTAGGGTTTAGGGTTTAGGGTTTTGGCTTCGGCCCGCAAGGGCCGAAGCCAAAACCCTACGAGTGCTTGAGTTTAGGGTTTAGGGTTTAGGGTTTAGAGTCATTGAGCCCCGTGGCTATTGACCTTTTAAATGCTGAGCCAGCCTGTTCAAACCCTAAACCCTCAGCTGTCGGGCTCACAATGCCCGAGGGTTTAGGGTTTAGGGTTTAGGGTGCACACTTGAAGTAGTGGCTAGCAACAAAGCCGTGCAAAGGGTTTAGCTTAGGGTTTAGGGTTTAGGGTTTAGGGTTTGCGCCACACCTGAGGTAGTGGCTAGCCAAAAAGCCGTGCACCGGGTTTAGGGCTTAGGGTGCGGCTTAGGGTTTAGGGTTTAGGGTTTAGGGTTAGAGTTTGGGATTTGGAACTTAAGGCTAGGCTTTAGGGCTGAGGGTTTAGCTCTAGGGTTTAGGGTTTGGGGTTTAAAGCCTACCCCACAGCTCTATGTGGCGTTATTGGCCTGCAGCGTAGGCCACCCCACGGCGGGGGTTTAGGGTTTAGGGTTTAGGGTTTAGGGTTACTAAACCTCCCCGGTGACTATGTTTGGCTGAGTTCCCTTTAACAGCTTTCCTAAACCCTAGCTTCTCAGGAGTGTAAACCCTCAAAGTCCTAAACCCTCGCTAAACCCTCGGTGGTTTGTTGTTGCTGAGGGTTTGCACGCAGAAGAGTTAGGGTTTAGGGTTTGGGGTTTAGGGTTCTGTACTTTAGGGTTTTGCGTTGTGTAAATAGCTGTTTTTCGGGTTTCGGCACTGGCGTTCAGGTTTTAGGGTTTAGGGTTTAGGGTTTGCGCTAAACCCTAACTGCTGCCAGGCTGCCAAAGCCCCCGAGGTGGACCGTTGGCGCGCGACAGCCTAAACCCTAAACCCTAAACCCTCGCTTTCGTTTTTAAGAAGTTGCACTGAGACAAAACGTTTGGAGCAAATAGGCCGAAGTGAAGAGGGCCAGGGTTTAGGGTTTAGGGTTTAGGGTTTAGGGTTTAGGGTTTAAAGCTGGGGTTAGACGGGGGACCAGGGGGGCCGGCGTAGTCTTCGTTCGGCATCTTCCGCCAGCGTCGCTGTTGGATTCCGCGGCTTAAACCCTAAATGCTAAACCCTAAACCCTAAACCCTAAACCCTAAGCCCTAGAGAAGGCCTCAAGGGCTGCAGAGTGACTGCAGCAGCAACACTGCCCACTGGTGCTGCCGGTGCAGCAGCAGCAGCAGCGGCAGCAGCAGCAGCAACAGCAGCAAAACGCATCGCAGCGGGAGAAACAAAGGCAATAGCTTCAGCAGCAACGAGAGCTATTGCATGTCTGACAGTGGTAACTTGTGCAGCAGCAGCAGCAGCAGGAGCAGCAGCAGCAGCAGCAGCAGCAGCAGCAGCAGCAGTGGCGCCGTCCCACCCGCCCCCCTGTACAGAATGCACGGGCGAGACGGTCAGCAGCAGCAGCAGCAGCTGCAACAGGAGCAGCAGCAGCTGCAACAGCAGCGCCTCCAGCAGCAGGAGGAGCAGCGGCACTCGAAGCAGCAGCAGCAGCAGCAGCAGCAGCAGCAGCGGCCGGGGTGTGTCCTTCCGCAGCAAAGCTCAGCCTCATACAGACAACGTGAAGATAGGCAGCAGCAAGACTGGCAGCAGCAGCGGCAGCAGCAGCAGCAGCACAGGCAGCTGTCCGCGCCGCAGCACGAGCAGCTGCTGCAGCTCCAGCAGCAGCAGCAGCAGCAGCAGCAGCAGCAGCAGCAGATGCAGCAGCAGCAGCAGCACCAGGGAACCGATGCAGCAGCAGGAGGGCCCTCAACCAAAACTCGCCCCTCGCAATCTGCGACCTACAGCAGGGGCTGGGAAGTCATAGAGGTAAGCATAGAATTAGGGTTTAGGGTTTAGGGTTTAGGGTTTAGGGTTTAGGGTTTCAGTGTGTTGCAGCGTGCGACCTGCTCGTGTGGTCTACTGTCTGCGAACTGCTGCTGCTGCTGCTGCTGCTGCTGCTGCTGCTGCACTGTGTGTTAGCCCAGCAGCAGCTGCTGCCCCCACGCCTCTCGTTCTTTCCCTGCTGCAGCCATCGCTGCTGCTGCTGCTGCTGCTGCTGCTGCTGCTGCTGCTGCTGCAGGTTTTGGGCAATTTGATCCCTGAGCGCCGCAGCGGCGCTGCCTCTTGTGTCTATAAGAACTGTTTGTTCGTTTTTGGGGGTTACGGGGGTTTGTCTCGCCTGGGGAACCTGTTCAAGTTTGATTTCAGTAAACCCTAAACCCTAAACCCTAAACCCTAAACCCTAGGCGCTGGGCCTGCAGGCGCCGGCGCACCTCAACTGACAGAGAGCTAGCAAGCTTTGCAGTCTGGAGCTGAGGGTTTGTGAGCGGCAGGAGCAGGGTTTAGGGTTTGGGGAGCCCGGCCCCGGGCCTCGGGCTTAGGGTTTAGGGTTTAGGGTTTAGGGTTTAGGGTTTGCGCAGGCACGTCTCGCTGGCGCGAGATCAAAGCCCCCGGCTGCCCCAGCCCCCGCGAAAGCAACGGCGCTGTTGTCTTAGGCTCGAAGATGTTTATTTTTGGAGGTTATTCGGGGACTCACTGGCTGAACGACTTGCATGCATTTGACCTCGGTAAACCCTAATTTAGGGTTTAGGGTTTGCGGCGAACGCCGCGGGTGGGGGGCCCGGCGGCTGCGCTGCGCGCGCAAGCGGCGCTCCGCTGCGTCGAACCTTTAGGGCTTAGGGCTCAGTGCTTTAGGGTTTAGGGTTTAGGGTTTGGGGTTTAGGGTTTAGGGTTTAGGGTTTGGGGTTTAGGGTTTGAGGTCTGCAGAGAAGGAAGAATGGACAGAGGTCCCGCACTGGGGCATGAAGCCTTCTCCCAGATTCGGGTAAGCCCTAAACCCTAAACCCTAAACCCTAAACCGTAAACCCTAAACCCTAGTCGGTAGCTGGACTTCGATTTATGGAGGGTTTGTTCGCCGAGACGAGGTTTGCAGCGCCGCCAGCAAGTGCCTAGGGTTTAGGGTTTAGGGTTTAGGGTTTCCTCGCGACCAAACCCTAAACCCTTGGCGCCAAAACCTCGCAAGCTCCGTGGCTTGCTGGCTGGGGCGCTGTATCCTCGCAGCGGCGCCCAGGGCTGGCGCTCAGGGCGTAGGGTTTAGGGTTTAGGGTTTAGGGTTTAGGGTTTAGGGTTTGTTGCAGGTACGTGGCTGCTGCGAACTCTTTGAAACCCTCGATTTTGCTCTTCGGGGGCTACGACGGCAGCAACTGGTTAAATGACTTAAATGAATTTAATCCCCAAACCCTAATGTGGAGTCCCATAAGCCAGCGAGGGCTTATCCCCTCGGGGCGCAGCTGCCCGGCCTCGGCCATGCACGAGGTAAACCCTAAACCCTAAACCCTAAACCCTAAACCCTAGTTTGGGGTTTCGCGCCGGGCCCGAAGCCCTCCACAAGTGCCGCGGGGGGCCGCACGCCGAAAAAACGCTGCAGGCAGCAAACCCCCAACGGAGTGCTAGCGATGGAAGCACTATTTAGGGTTTATGGCTGAGGGTTTAGGGTTTAGGGTTTAGGGTTTAGGGTTTGGGGTGGTTGCAGCAAGGACTGTACCTTTTTGGTGGCTACAACGGAGTAGAGCGGTTGAGCGACCTTTTTAGGTTAGCTGCAAACCCTAAACCCTAAACCCTAAACCCTCGGCCCCAAACCCTAAACCCTCGTTGATTCTGCAGACAAAGCAAGACAGAATCCCTGCCGCGTCTGCTCCTACGCCCCAAACTAGGGTTTAGGGTTTAGGGTTTAGGGTTTGCTTGCAGATTCGATTTGATCACCGAAGTATGGACTGTTATCACAACCTTCAGTGGGCCCCCCAGGGGGGCCCCCCAGCCCGGCCAGTTTTGCTGCTGGGGGCCCCCCACTGCTGCTAGCGGCGCTAGCGAAGCAGACGCAGCAGCAGCAGCAGCAGCAACTGCTGCTGCTGCTGCTCCTTCGGTGGCAGTGCAGCAGCTGCAGCAGAGACGCAGCGCCGGCCCCAGCAGCAGCAGCAGCAGCGGGGGCTGCTGCTACTGCAGCAGCAACGGCGGATGCGGCGGCGGCGGTCGCCCGTACACAGCGTACAGCAGCAACAGCAGCAGCAGCAGCAGCAGCAGCAGCAGCAGCAGCAGCAGCAGCAAGAACACCGGGGGCCCTGCTGCTCGCTACTTTCATGCTGCTTGCGCCAAAGACGGAAAGCTTTTCGCCTTTGGGGGGTACTCAGGACATGAAAGGCTGAACGACTTTTATGAACTCGACCTCGGTAAACCCTAAACCCTAAACCCTAAACCCTAAACCCTAGCGGGCCAGGTGAAGGCTGCACCCTAGCAGTGACTTCAGGCCCCCTTAGGTTTCAGCAACGCGCTCAAACCCTAAACCCTCAGTTTGAAATATTGAGCTAGCAAGCCTCAAACCTTTCCACTTTCAGGCAACCCATCAGGGTTTAGGGTTTAGGGTTTAGGGTTTAGGGTTTAAGGCTGAGGGTTTCGCGTCTGCCTCTCGATTATGTTTCTTGCATTTCTCCACGGCACGAGCGGGAACCCAGCAGCCTGGACAGAAAACCCCACTTCAGTGTTCAGGGCCCAGGGTTTAGGGTTTAGGGTTTAGGGTTTAGGGTTTAGGGTTTAGGGTTTAGGGTTTGCGCAGAAACGTACGAGTGGCGCTACATCGACGGCGGCCGGCTGCTGCCCTCCGGCCGCAGCTCAATGGTGGGAGTTATTTTTAAAAACAGTTTTGTGGTGTTTGGGGGTTACGACGGGAGGGAGGTTTTGAGCGACTTCTACAGGTTTCCCCTAGGTAAACCCTAAACCCTAAACCCTAAACCCTAAACCCTAAACCCTAAGCCTTCGTCGCCGCGCGCTGCGCTCGCGGCCGCCCGCCAGCGCGCCAAACCCTAAACCCTCGCGGGGCGGGGCCGGCGCAGCAGAAGTGCTCGGGGGCCCGTGGGCGTCCGAAACCCTAAACCCTAAACCCTAAACCCTAAACCCTAAACCCTCGTTTTTTCTGCAGACCCTCTCTCCCCACCCCCCTCGACGCTCCTCAGCAACCTGCTGTCTCTTCAAGGCCCAACTCCTCTTTCCGATGCGGCCTTTTTGGTTGAAGGCAAAATCATGCGCTCTTCCAGAGCCCTACTTGCATGCAGGTAAACCCTAAACCCTAAACCCTAAACCCTAAACCCTAAACCCTAAGCTTCGTTCTCAGCCGCTAGCCGCCGAAGCAGTAGTGCATTTGAAAGCCGCTGCGGGCGGGGCTTGGGGTCTGTGCATGTCTCTTGTTGAGGTTTTAGCGAAGGGGCTGAGGCTCTAGGGTTTAGGGTTTAGGGTTTAGGGATTAGGGTTTAGGGTTTGGGGCTTGTCTGCAGGTCAGAACACTTCCGCGCTTTGTTCTTTGGAGGGCTGAAAGAGGCCAACGACAGAGAAAACAAACCCATACCCATTGAGGGCATTCGGCACGAAGTGAGAGCTCGATAGTTAGGGTTTAGGGTTTAGGGTTTAGGGTTTGGGGCGAGGACCTAGGGTTTAGGGTTTAGGGTTTGGGGCGAGGACCTAGGGTTTAGGGTTTAGGGTTTAGGGCATGCCGAGTTCTCGCCTCGACGAGCAGGAGCTTCACTGTTCAGGTAGTAGGGCTGAAGACCGAGGGCTTAGGGTTGGGGCTGTCGGGTTGAGGGTCTAGGGTTTGGGGTTTAGGGTTTAGGGTTTAGGGTTTAGGGTTTAGGGTTTAGGGTTTGGAGTTTAGGTATTTGCGGCCCTGCTCGATTATCTCCACACGGATTTTCTCCCCGCCGGTCTCTCTTGGCCTGTCTTGGTGGAGCTGATGGTAGCAGCAGAACGAGTGGGTGTTGCTGCTGCTTTTGCTGCTGCTGCTGCTGCTGCTGCTTCTGCTGCTGCGGTTGCTGCTGCAGTTGCTGCTGCTGCCATTGCTGCTGCATTTGCCGTTACTGCTGCTGCTGCTCGTCTTACTGCTGCTGTTGCGACTGCGGACTGTTACCCGCAGTGACTTCGCAGCAGTTTTCTTAGTTGCTGCTGCTGCTGCTGCTGCTGCTGCTGCTGCTGCGTCAGCAAAGTCTAATTGGTGTTGCTGTTGCGCAAAACCCTAAACCCCCAAAAGCGTTGCGCGCGCAGTGGTGGTTTCGCGTGTCGCCGCCGCGCGAGCCCCAGAGTTCGGGGCTCAGGGTTTAGGGTTTAGGGTTTAGGGTTTAGGGTTTAGGGTTTGGGGTTTGCTGCAGGTTTGCGTCGAACGCCTGAAGCTGCTTTGCATCAAAAGACTCCGAGCAGCAATGTGCATTCAGTCGGCGGTGCAGCTTCTTTCAGCAGCAGATCAGTTGAGCATATTTGAGCTCAAGGAGCTTTCTCTCGACTTCTTGGCCTTGCACGACGAAGAGGTGAGGGTTTAGGGTTTAGGGTTTAGGGTTTAGGGTTTGGGGGTTGGGGGTTGCGCCGCGGCGGGCCGCCAGTGAGGCGGACCGCCTGGGCGCGGTTGGCCCTCGCGCGGCGGAGCGGCGGCGGCGAGGGTTCAGCGCGAGGGTTTAGGGTTTAGGGTTTGGGGTTTAGGGTTTGGGGTTTAGGGTTTGCAAGGGTTTGTGGCTGCCACAGATCCGCCTAAACCCTGAAGTGCTGAGGCCGCTCACTAAGGAGCTGCTGCTGCAGCTGCTAGGTCACCGTTGCCGCTGACGCGGCCGTGGGGTGTACGTACAGCCCAGTGGTGCTGCTGCTGCAGCAGCAGCAGCAGCACCTCTTGCTGCTGCAGCAGCAGCAGCAAGAGGAACGGGAGCGACAGCAGCAGCAGCAGCAGCGGCGGCAGCAGGAACGGGAGCAGGAGCAGCAGCAGCAACAACCGCAACGGAAGCAGCAGCAGCAGCAGCAACGGCAGCGCTAGCTGCTGCAGCAGCAGGAAGGGGGCGCAGCTGCAGCAGCGGCAGCAGCAGCGGGCGGCTGCTGCTGCTGCTGGCTTTTATTTCGTGCTGCTGCGAATCTGTGTACAGTGTCTGTACAGCAGCGTGTCATTGGCTTGTTTCGAAAAGTTTGCATGCATGCATTTGCTCAGATATATATATATGCCGATGTATAGAAAGTGTTGCAGAATAAATAAATAAATAAATAAATAAATAAAAGTAAATATATAAATATAAATATGTATATATATATATATTGATGTATACAGAAAGCCCAAGGAAGTGCAAACAGGCGTGCTGCGCATATATATGAAAAGTTCACAAATGCGCAAAAATGAAAAAGTGTTCAAAAGTAATTATAAATGCAAATATAAAAGTATGAATGCAAATATATATATATATATGTATTTATATATGTATATATATATATATATATCGGGGAGTTGAAGAAAAGGCACTTGTGGTTGAAATTTGTTTTTCGGAAAGCTGCTGCAGCAGCAGCAGTGTCGCTACAGCTGCGCATGCATGCACTCCGCAGAGCGGGAAATGTGGAGAAGTTTGCAAATGCTCCGTGCAAAAGAAAAAGAAAAAGAAGAAAAGGAAAAGAATAAAAGAATTGAAATAAAAGATCAAGAGGGAAAGAGGTTTGTTTGCATGCGTTCGCCAAAGAGAGCACAGGCGCGCCGCCGCGGTTTTGAAAACGGCGGAGAGTTTGAGTTTGTTTGGAAGCCCGAGTTGAGGAGTTTGTGTTTCTTTCGAAACTATTTTCGAAATTAATTCGAAATTAATTCCAAAAGTGCGTTTTTAAGTCCTTAGCAGCCCCAAAAGTCAAATGTTTTGACCGCTCGCGCGCGAGACGGCCGGCGGACCAGGTGTGAGGTGTACGTACACCCCAGCAGCGCGCCCGGCGGCCCAGGCGGAGCCGCGGCTCCAGCTGAGGTGTACGTACACCGCAGCAGCCGCCCAGAGCGCTCGCCGGCTGTCTGTACACCGCAGGAGCCAATGCGTTTGCGCGGAAGTGTGCCTCCGCGTGAAGTGTTCTGCAGTGCGTGTGGGGTGTACGTACACCTCGTTGTGTCACGGCAGCAGGTCGCGTGTTCAGAGCTTCCCAGGTGTACAGACACCTGCGGAGTCGCCGGCGCAGCGGCTCCGCGCTTTCTGTCTCACTTTTATAGTTCAAAAGAAATGCATTTATTCAGGGAATGCAAAGGTGTTAATGATGCATGCGCAAGTCCCGAACTTGCATGCAAAGCCCCAACTCGCGTCCTGGCCTGCTGCTGCACTGCCAAATGGCCACAGACGCGCATGCACTGCTGCATGCAGCAGCAGCAGCAGCAGCAGCAGCAGCAGCACCGGTGGCTGGCTGCTTTGCTGCAGCTGTACAGACACCGGAAGGGCTGCCAGCGCCCAAGTTTTGTCTCTTGTTGTCCCCAGCTCCGACGCGCGCAGCAGCAGCAGCGCAGCAGCAGCAGCGCCGCAGCAGCAGCAGCGGACGCAGCGGCACACCCAGCAGCAGCAGCAGCAGCAGCAGCAGCAGCAGCAGCAGCAGCAGGTACCTGACTCCACGCCGGGTGTACGTACAGCTGCCTCGCCCGCGGCGGACTCTCCAGGCTGCAGCAACCGCAGCTCGGAACGGCTGGCGAGGGCTCTCCGTGTGCTTCGCCAGCTAGCTAGCTAGCCAGCCAGCTAGCTAGCCAGCTAGCTAGCTAGCCAGCTAGCTAGCTCGCAGCAGGCCTGGCTAGCTGTCTGAAAGCCGCACGGCTGGCTAGCCACATCAGAGCCAGCTTGACAGCTAGCTGCCCCTTGGGCGCGCAAGGCTCCTGCCTGCGTGGCTACCTCCCTGGCCGCGTCCCCAGCTAGCCAGCTAGCTAGCCAGCCAGCTAGCCAGCTAGCTAGCTAGCTAGCTAGCTAGCTAGCTGAGACTCCAGTAATGTGGGGTAGCTCAATGTGTGGAACAAATCCACCCCTCAATGTACAGCGGCCGACCGAGGGCTTCAACGGCGCGGGGTGTACGTACACTTCGCGCAACAGAACATGGTTTTCGTCATCCGCCAAACCCTGACACTAAACCCTGTTTTAGGGTTTAGGAGCGGGTTCGGCAGCCCTGAACAAGGTTACCTTTACTCCTTTCGTTTAAAGCGGCAGCGAGGCTTCAGGGTTTAGGGTTTAGGGTTTAGGGTTTAGGGTTGCAGCTTACAGTGCAGCTGCTTCCCAACCAGCTAACTAGCTGGTCTTCCCGTCTGGCTAGCTAGCTAGCCATTGTTAGCTCGCTGGCCAAACAGCTAGCCACCCACATGATCAACTAGCTAGCTGGCTAGCTTGCTCTAGCTCGCTAGCTAGCTGGCTAGCTACCTGCCCCGCGGGCTGAGCAGCCGCGTGGCTAGCTGGTAGCGAAGCTGGGAGGCAGCTAGCTGGCTAGCCGGCGCCTTGCCCTCTCTCTAGCTAGCTAGCTAGATGGGCTACTGGCTGGCGTGCTCATCTAGCTAGCTAGCTAGCTGGCTAGCTAGCTAGCTAGCCAGGTAGCAAGGTGAGGTAGCTAGCTAGAAGGGCTGCTAGCTGGCAAGGCAGCTAGCTAGCAAGGTGGCTAGCTAGCGCGCTAGCTAGCTAGCTAGCTAGCTAGCTAGCGAAGTAGCTAGCTAGCTAGGTAGCGAGGTAGCTAGCTAGCTAGCTAGCGAGGTAGCTAGCTAGCTAGCTAGGCGGCAGCTGCAGTCCGCCTTGTTACATCTGGACATATTCTATTTTGCGTTTAATTGGCAGCTGAGGAGATGACACACACAGCACAAACCCTAAACCCTCGGCTCTTAAACCCTAAACCCTAAACCCTACTTCTGGCGTGTCCTGTGGCAAGGGAATTAGGGTTTAGGGTTTAGGACAAGGGCTTAGGGTTTGTTTATACTCTGAGGACTAGAGAATTTGTCCCTGATATCCATTTGCAGCTTCCTGCTTCTGAGTTTACTGCAGCACAAACAGCAGGTCTTCAAGATTCGCGGCTAAGGGTTTAGGGTTTAGGGTTTAGGGTTTAGGGTTTAGGGTTTGGGTATTTTGGGTTCGCGCTTCGGGGTTTGTGAGTGCGTTGTTTCAACTTTCGCAGTGATGTGTGCTGCTGAATAAAATAAAAAGTAAATTTTCACTTTTAATTTATTTTTATTTGATGTATTTTCATTTAATTTACTTTTTTATTTATTTTTTAATTTAATTTAATTTAATTTTTATTTTTCCACTTTTCAGCTTTTCACCTGCGTAGGGCAAAGGGAGGTTTAAATGGTGTTGAGGAGAATCCACCACCAGGCGGTCTTCCAGCGTCTGCACAAACCCTAAACCCTAAACCCTAAACCCTAAACCCTCATCCCTAAACCCTAATCCTAGGCCCTAGATGTAAAGGCTCTGCCGCGTTCAGGGCTACTAGGGTTTTTCTGGGGCCTAGGGCGTAGGGTTTAGGGCGTAGGGTTTAGGGCCTAGGGTTTAGGGCCTAGGGTTTAGGGCCTAGGGTTTAGGGCCTAGGGTTTAGTGCCTAGGGTTTTCTAGGGTTTAGGGTTTGCCTCCAGGGATATTTGAGAATATGCGGCTCCCGGCAAAAACACCTGAGGAGCAGCACAAACCCTAGACCCAAACCCTAAACCCCAAGTCCTCCGCCTAAAGGCCTAAAACGCAGCAAGGGTTTAGGGTTTAGGGTTTAGGGTTTAGGGTTTACTTTAACCAGCAGGGTTTCACAATGGTCTGTTGTAGGGTCTTTGTCGCTCAGCCCCAGATAGACATCTTCCGCGCCAACTTTTTGAGAGAATAAAACCTGCAAACCCTCGAGGGTTTAGGGTTTAGATCCTAGGGTTTAGGGTTTAGGTCTTGGGGATTAAGGTTTAGATTCTAGGGTTTAGGGTTTAGGGATTCGCTGTTCCTAGAGGACTAAGAAAATGTCTGGGGGTTTAGAAAACCCTTGTAGGGTTTAGCTAAACCTCTAGAGCATTTAGTGCTAGGGGCGAGGGAGGGTTTGGCTTCCTCGGGTTTAGGGTTTAGGGTTTAGTGTTTAGGGTTTAGGGTTTACTTCATATCTGGGTTCCGTCCTATTGTCTCTCAGCTGCTTGAAAGTGGCCCCTTGAACGAGGTCTTTTTCTTTCCAAATATCAAACTCCTCTTTTTGGCCTACCTGCAAAACCCTAAACCCTAAACCCTAAACCCTAAACCCTAAAGCTTGTGCAGTGTGCAACTGCGTCGCTGCCGCTGAGCTGTCGCCACTGGTTCCAAACCCTAAACCCTAAACCCTTTCCAGGCAGCAGCTAACCTTAGCCTTCACTTTAACATTGGGTTTTGCTTTGCTTTTGTACTTCTCTGTTGGCGGCGAGGGTTTAGGGTTTAGGGTTTGGGGCCCCCTGAGGTGACCTTGCTTTGCGGTGTCTGGACAGAACAGATCTGCCAGTGCCTGGATGTCGCTGACTCCAAAAGAACCCATTTTAGCTTCTTTCCAACCCCTATAAACCCTAAACCCTAAACCCTAAACCCTAAACCCTAAACCCTAAACCCTAAGCCCTAGATTGTCCCGGGGGATATTGAAAGCAGGTCACCCCACCAAACCCTCCAAAACCCGATTTGAAACCCTGATCTGAGAAGGCGCGTCCTTCCCTCTCATATAAAAAACATAAAAATAAATTAAAATTAAATTAATTAGTTTAATTAATTAAATAAATAAATTTTTTCAACTCAAAAAGCCTCAGATGCGACTGAGACCAGCACCACTCCCCTGGGCTGGCCTCCCCAGCCGGCGCCGTGGCCCTCGCCCAAAACCCCAAACCCTAAACCCTAAACCCTAAACCTAAACCCTAAACCCTAAACCCTAAATTCGCTGAAAAGTGCAAATCGGCTGTATAGACGCTCGTCTGCTAGTTTGGCGAGAGTTCAGGTGTACGTACACTCGGCAAGGCCAAGGGAACTGGCAGAAAAAACAAAAAGAGAAAAAGAAGAAAATAAATCGAGGGTTTAGGAAGAAATTAAATCGAGGGTTTAGGAAGTAATGAAATCGAGGGTTTAGGAAGTAATGAAATCGAGGGTTTAGGAAGAAATTAAATCGAGGGTTTAGGAAGTAATGAAATCGAGGGTTTAGGAAGTAATGGAATCGAGGGTTTAGGAAGAAATTAAATCGAGGGTTTAGGAAGTAATTAAATCGAGGGTTTAGGAAGTAATGAAATCGAGGGTTTAGGAAGTAATGAAATTAAATCGAGGGTTGAGGAAATAATTAAGTCGAGGGTTTAGGAAGTAATTAAGTCGAGGGTTTAGGAAGTCGAGGGTTTAGGAAGTAATTAAACCGAGGGTTTAGGGCGGAAATAAATCGAGGGTTTAGGAAGAAGATAAATCGAGGGTTTAGGAAGAAGATAAATCGAGGGTTTAGGGTTTAGACTTTGTTGTCCCTGCCGGGGACAGAACAGTTTTAGCTGCCGCTAATTCAAATACTGGGGCGGCTAGCCAGCTAGCCAGCGCACTGGCCGTGGCGAACCACGCAGCTAGCTAGCTAGCTAGCTAGCTAGCTAGCTAGCTGGCTAGTTAGCTAGCTAGCTAGCTAGCCAGAGGCGGTTTCAGTCTACGTGGACAGCCACTAGCCACCTGGCTAGCTAGCTGGCTGGCTAGCCAGCTGGCTAGCCGGCTGGCTAGCTAGCTGTCTAGCTAGCTGGCCAGCCCTGGGCAAAGGGCGCAGCGCCCCCCAGAAACATTTGTACCGCTAATGTGTGTGCTGGCTAGCTAGCCAGCTAGCTAAGCAGCTAGCTAACTTGCCAGCTAGCTGCGCAGCTAGCTAGCTAGCTAGCTAGCTAGCTAGCTAGCTAGCTAGCTAGCTAGCTAGCTAGCTAGCTAGCTCTACGAGTCCTCGGGGAGGCAGTTTAAATCTAAGGGCTGAAACGCCACTCCTTCTCCTTTGTAAAACTTGTTTTGGAATTCCACCCTGAAACCACATGCGCCCCAAACCCTAAACCCTAAACCCTAAACCCTCGTTTCAACCACAGAAAGATTGTCGAGCCTGCACCACTGGCAGCAAAACCCTTGGCCCTAGAATCGAAACCCTAAACCCTAAACCCTAGCGAGCCGCACGCAAGCCAAGCCCGAACCCCGCAGGCCCTGCACGCCCGCAGGCCGCAAACCCCAAACCCTAAACCCTAAACCCTAAACCCTAAACCCTAAACCCTGACGAACCACTGCAGCCTCAGCGCATGCAGGAAGCACTCGAGGGCCTCCATTGCCACCATCACGAAAACAGTGACGCAAAAGAAAACGGGAAACAGGAAAACCAGCTGCAGCAGCACAGCAGCAGCAGCACAAGCAGCAGCAGCAGCAGCACAAGCAGCAGCAGCAGCAGCACAAGCAGCAGCATTAGAAACAGCTCGCCTGCGCCTCTTTGCTGCTGGGGCAGCTAACTAACTAGCTGGCTAGCTAACTAGCTAGCTACCCGGTTAGCTAGCTAGCTAGCTAGCTAGCTAGTTAATTAGCTATACCTGGCTAGCTAGGCCCTGGCCTGCTGCTTAGGGGCTCACTTACAACCTGCTAGCCAGTGATTTAACTGCTTGGCTAGCTGGCTAGCTAGCTACCGACTTGGCTAGCTGGCTCAACAGCTCCGGCGGCCTAGGCCAATTCTCAGCTAGCCACCTAACTGCCAGCTAACTGCCAGCTAGCTGGCTAGCGAGCTGTTCGCGGCCTACCTGGCTAGCTGGCTAGCTGACGAGCTACCTAGCTAGCTAGCTAGCTGGCTAGCTGGCTAGCTGTGTGGCTGGCTGGCTAGCTAGCTGTGTGTCTAGCTAGCTGGCTAGCTACTCATCTAGCTTGCTAGCTGCACGTCCAGCCAGCTGCGCAGCCAGCTGGCGAGCTAGCTGGCTAGCCAGCTAGCTAGCTAGCTAGCTAGCTAGCTAGCTGCGGACCTTGAAGGCCATCTGCGGGACCGTTTGGCCCGGGAGAAATGCCGCGCCCACAGTCTTCTCAAAGAAGACAAGGGCTAGCTGCTGGTGGGCCAGCGAAAGGGCCCACAGCCTTAAGTAAGAAGCTGTGTTGCTGACAGTGCCCAGCACAAACTCAATGCCTTCGACCAAAGTGTGCAGCCACAGCTGCGCGAGTTCGTCCTCTGCTGCTGCTGCTGCTGCTGCTGCTGCTGCTGCTGCGGGGGGTGCTGCTGCTGCTGCTGCAGCAAACGGCGCGTGCCCACGAGCCCGCGTTCCCGAGAACGACCCCGGCAGCTCCAGCTCCCGCTGCGCTGCTGCAGCGCCGCACAGCTCCCCGTGCTGCTGCTGCTGCTGCAGCTGCTGCAGCTGCTGCTGCTGCTGCTGCAGCGGCTGCAGCTGAATCGAACTCGACTCCAAACTATTCAAAGACTGAAACCCTGGAGGGGGTCTTTTCTTCCGGCGTACGTACACCTCAAACAGCGGCTTCCCCAAAAACATCACAGGGAGGCACAGCAGCATCACCGCACGCAGCACCTGCAGCAGCAGCAGCAGCAGCAGCAGCAGGAGTAGCAGCAGCAGCAGCAGGAATAGCAACAGCAGCAGCAATAGCAGCAGCAGCGGCGGGCTGGTCCCCAGGCAGCAAACACCGAGATCGTCCTTGGCGGGCAGCCTGATGCGCCACGGCAAAGCACCGCTTGCTGCTAAGCAGGGTTTAGGGTTTAGGGTTTAGGGTTTAGGGTTTAGGGTCCAGGAAGTGTCTCTCGACGGCTTCGCAGCTGAAACATCTTTCAGGGTTTAAAGCTGAGGGTTTGTAGTGCTTGAAGGGCGGGGGTCTCTGGGGCCTGGCCGGCGGGGTTTGCCGCGACTTAAGGGCTTAGGGTTTAGGGTTTAGGGTTTAGGGTTTAGGGTTTAGGGTTTACGCGTTCGACTTGGGGCTGCTGGTCGAAGAGTTTGAGCTCGCTGCTGCTGCTAGGGTTTGCTGCGAGGAGGAAGTCAATGAGAACTGCAATGAGGGAGGGTTTGTTGTAAAGTTGAGAAGGAGCTATCCATTTTAAAACAATTAAAAAACACAAAAACCCCACAAGACAAACAAAAAACAAAAACTGCGGCAAAACCACCAGCAGCAAATTCCGCCAGTCCCGAAACTCCACGCAGTTCAGCACGGCCAGAAACAGCCCCAGACACATGTGCAGAAACCCCACCTGCAGCAGCAGCAGCAGCAGCAGCAGCAGCAGCAGCAGCAAAAGCGCATTCAAAGTTCAATCTTTTGATTAGTTATTTAGTTAATTACTTTTACTTCGACTTTTTATTCTTTTAGTCGCTTTTGGGAACAAGAATTCCCCAGTTTGCAGCAAACACGAAGCAAAGAGACCACATGGGCAAGAAGCAACGCCTGCAGCAGCAGCAGCAGCAGCAGCAGCAGACTGCAGCAGCAGCAGCACAAAATGCAGCAGCAGCAGCACTGACAGTAGCAACAGCAGCACAGGCAGACTGCAGCAGCACAGTCGGCAGCAACAAATTTAGTAGCAGCAAAGACAGCAGCAGTACCGAAAGACACCAGCAACAGCACCAAAGATAGCAGCAGCAGCAGCAGCAGCAGCAGCAGCAGCAGCAGCAGCAGGCACTCACGATAACAGCGAACTTCATCTTGAGTGAGTTTAGAAACAGCAATTCATTAGAAGCTCCTCTCCACGCAGGATCAACTCCAAACGGATAGGGCCCCTCTCTTGACTGGAAAAGGGGCCCCTGGGGGCCCCCCGGGGGGCCCCCCAAGGGGGCCCCCGGGAGGCCCTCCGGGGGGCCCCCCAAGGGGGGGCCCCCGTGGGGGCCCCCCGGGGGGCCCCCCAGGGGGCCCCCAGGGGGGCCCCCTGGGGGGGCCCCCAAATGGTACCAACGGGAATTGAAGAGATTTAAACCCATGCTAAAGACTTCGTTGTACATACAGCCGGCGAAGATGGAGTGTATAGCCATTAGGAGCAAAAGGTGGCTGCAGAAAAGAAAAAGAATAAAAAAAGAATTCGAAAGAATTACATTTAAAATGGAACTTTGGAATTTTAAAAGAATTTTTAAAATTCTTTTTGAACTTAAATTTGAAAAGATATAATGAAATCAAACAGAAAAAGAATAAAGGAGAAAAGAGAAAAATAAAAAAAAGAAAAAACGAAATGGAAAAATCAAACAGAGAAAGAGAGAAAATGGTAATTTGAAAGACATAGACTAAAAGTGGAATGAAATTTGAAATAAGAAAAAAAGAGAAAATTAAAAAATTAAAAAAATGAAAACTGAAAACAAAAAGATGAAGAGAAAGATAAAGGAGACATTAAAAGGAAAAGGCAAAAGAAATATAATTTAAAAAAATAAAAAGAAATAAACAAAAATAAAAAAAACAAAAAGAAATGCAGTTAGAGGGATAGAAACAAGCAAATAAGAAGCAAAAAAAAGAAATGCAATTCAAGAAATAAAAAAAAGTTAAAAGGGACAAATGAGAAGACAAAGAAAGAGGAATATGATTTTGGAAATAAAAAGAAAAAAAATAAAAAGACAAAAAGATGAAACAGACAACTAAAGAACTGAGACAAAAGGAGAAAATAGAAAAAAAGAAACAAAGAGAGAAACAAAAGGCAAAAGGAATTAAAGGAATTTAAAAAAGAAAAAAAGGAGAAAAAAAGGAATTTAACAATAGACAAAAAGAAACTCAAAAGGAGACAAAAAGGAATGAAGAAAGAAAAGAAATTACAAAAGGAACCAAAAAGGGACAGAAAGGAGACAAAAAGAAATTTCAAAAGAGACAAAAAAGAATTAAAAGAGAGACAAAAAAGGGACAAAAAGGGGTTCGACAAAAAGCCAAAAAGAATTTAAAAAGAGACAAAAAAAACGTAAAAACAGGACAATTAAAAGGAGAAGAGGAATGAAAAAAGAAACAAAAAAGGGACAAAAAAGAAACAAAAAGAAAACAAAAAAGAAACAAAAAAGACAAAAAAGAATCAAAAAAGAAACAAAATCGAAACAAAAAGGAAACAAAAAGGAAACAAAAAAGAACAAAAATGAAACAAAAAAGTAACAAAGAAGAAATAAAAAAGAAGCAAAAAAGACACAAAAAAGAAACAAAAAAGAAACAAAAACGAAACAAAGAAAAAAGAACAAAAAAGAAACAAGAAAGAAACGAAAAAGGAGACAAAAAGAAAAAAAGAAACAAAAAAGAAAAGGCGGACCGAGCGTCGAAGAGGAGGCGCAGGAGTTCGTCCGCGACGAGTTTGCTGCTGCTGCTGCAGCAGCAGCAAAGCGCAGCAGCAAGCGCCAGCAGCAGCAGCCCGTGGCCCACATCTCCGAACATAACTCCGAACAAAAAGGGGAAAACAGCAGCAGCAAAAACTGCAGCATTTAACTCTCGATAATTCGCAACTCCGTAAGTTTCCACCAAGTTCTGAAAAGGACTCATGAAGCTGCTGACTCGAAAGTAAGTCGGAGCCCCCGACACAACTCCCCCGTGCACCAGCAAAAACGCCGAAGTGCTCTGCACGCAAACCCCAAACCCTAAACCCTAAACCCTAAACCCTAAACCCTAGACCCTCGGGAGAAGCTCCCGGGGCTTCGGCGTGCGCAGCGGCTACGCGCAAGCAAGCGTCGGCAGCAACCACCAGCTTCGATTCGGGGAGTGCGAGAAGGCTTACAAACCCTAAACCCTAAACCCTAAACCCTAAACCCTAAACCCTAAACCCTAAACCCTAAACCCTAAACCCCTAAACCCTAAACCCTAAACCCTAAACCCTAAACCCTAAACCCTAAACCCTAAACCCTAAACCCTAAAACAAAACCCTAAACCCTAAACCCTAAACCCTAAACCCTAAACCCTAAACCCTAAACCCTAAACCCTAAACCCCAAACCCTAAACCCTAAACCCTAAACCCTAAACCCTAAACCCTAAACCCTAAACCCTAAGCTGACCACTGCGGCGCGGCAAGTGCGCATTCACGCCAGAAACAAAACCCCACTTCCACTCACAAACCACCACTGTGACCTACAGAAAAGACGAATGCCTCCAAACCCAAACCCCAAACCCCAAACCCCAAACGCCAAACCCCAAACCCTAAACCCTAAACCCTAAACCCTCGGACCTTTTCGGCCGCGACTTGCGCGAGGGTTTGGCGAAAGGCGGCCTCGTGGCTTTCTGGAAACCAACAGTCTGCTTGGAGAGTTGCATCTGAAAAAGCAAAAAGATTTAGAGTTGTATAAACAGCTCTTTCTCTGAAGACAAAGCGCTGCAGCTCAGTGATGAGGGGGCGGCGGCGGAGGCCTGCTGCTGCTGCTGCTGCTGCTGCTGCTGCTGCGCTGCGGTCGCCGGGCGCCGCTGCTGCTGCTGCTGCTGCTGCTGCTGCAGCAGGAACCAGCGGCAGGTTCACTGCTGGCACAGACTCCAAAAACACTCCAACCTCATTCAAAAAGTACTGCTCATATGCTGCTGCTGCTGCTGCTTTGTCCCGCAGCAGCTGCTGCAGCAGCAGCTGCCGCTGCTGCGCCTCTTCGCCGCTGTGGGGCCACGCGTACGTGCGCGCCCCCATTGCCGAGCACACGCACTTCACCTGCACAAAACCCTAAACCCTAAACCCTAAACCCTAAACCCTAAACCCTAAACCCTGAGGGGGAATTGGGGTTTGAAGACTTCTCAAGTCCCCTTGGGGTTTAGTGCTTGTTTTGTCGTCGTTTGGGGTTTGTGCGGCTGGGAAGCGGCTGCGAGGGTTTACGCGCTTGAGGGTTTAGGGTTTGTGAGGGTTTGGGGTTTCCAACGTTTTAGGGTTTTCAAGGGTTTAGGGTTTACCTTCTCCATAAAGGCAGACCCAGTTGCTGCACCCTGGAAATACGTTACGAATAAAGACTTGGGCTCCGACGAATTCGGCTGCGCAGCAAAGCCCCAAACCCTAAACCCTAAACCCTAAACCCTAAACCCTAGCGCTGTGCTCCTGACCTTCACTGCGCCCATGCACACGCCTACGCTCTGTTGGATTAAGGGCTTAGGGTTTAGGGTTTAGGGTTTAGGGTTTACGTGGGCCGCAAGCTCTTCCTCATCTAATCTTTTGAAATGTGTAAATGCATTCCCACGGGTCGAGCGAAACAGAGCTCGTGCAAACCGCTCCTGCGAAAACCCTAAACCCTAAACCCTAAGCCCTAAACCCTAAACCCTAAGCCCTAAGCCCTAAACCCCAAACCCTAAACCCTAAACCCACTGCATCGTGAGAGTGCTACGCTTCTGCATGCGCGCCCCTGCTGCACCCAAGCGCCGCCGTCAGACCCCGCGGCGTGGGCCAGCAGCTAGGGTTTAGGGTTTAGGGTTTAGGGTTTAGGGTTTACCTGGTCTTTTGCAAGGATGATTCCCGCGACAGAAGAAAAGACCAAGTTGCTGATGTCTGCGTTTTCTAAAGGAAAACCCCCAGTGCCCAAAAGGCGCCTGGAAGCAGAGTAGGGAAAGTTTTGCTGCTGCTCCTGCTGCTGCAGCTCCGTCTGCAAGCTGCTGCTGCTGCTGCTGCTGCTGCTGAGCTGCGTCGGCCGCCGGCGGCGCGCTGAGGACGAGCTGTACATACACCCCAAAAGCGAGCAGCAGCAGAGCAGCAGCAAGAAGCTGTCCATACACCGCGCGCAATTTCACTGGACTTGCAACTCGCTTCCACTCACGCCACCGAACCGTAAACCCTAAACCCTAAACCCTAAACCCTAAACCCTCGGCCTCAAGCCGGAAACCTGGTGGCTAAAAGGCTCGACGTGCACCTGCAGCAGCAGCAGCAGCAGCTGTTGCGCACGAGCAGCAGCAGCAACAGTGGCTGTGTACCGCGCGTGGGAGTCTGCTGCGACTGCTCTGGGAGTGTTGGTTTGCTGCTGCTGCTGCTGCTGCTGCAGCGTGTTGCTGCTGCTGCAGGCGCTAGTAGCTGCTATTTCAACATCCCCAGCAGCAGCTGCTGCTGCTGCTGCAGCTGCTGCTGCTGCTGACCCGGGATCAAGTCGCCACGGGGAACGAAGCGAAGACCTCAGCTGTGAGGCAGCATATGAAACCACCGCCAGCTCCTCTTCCTGCAGCGCAGCACAGCAGCAGCAGCAGCAGCTACAGCAGCAGCAGCAGCAGCTACAGCAGCAGCAGCTACTGCAGCAACAGCAGCAGCAAGAGTGCGACGCAGGCGCAGCAGCAGCAACAGCTAGATGTTCAGCTGCAGCACTGCAAGCAGCAACAAAAGCAGCTGCCAGTCAGCCGATGCAAACCCCACTAAGACAGCGCGCAGCAGCAGCAGCAGCAGCAGCAGCAGCAGAGGAAGCAAGAGCGCAGGAGCTGGCGCTTGTAGGGTTTAGGGTTTAGGGTTTAGGGTTTACAGCGGCGATTTTCTCCCTCTTGAGGTCTTCATTGTTTTGAGCAAATCTGAGGAACTGTCCATACACCTTATTGAGCATGTCTTCTACTTTGTCGAGTACATACACCTGGGGCTTGGCTGCTGCTGCTGCTGCTGCTGCTGCTGCTGCTGCTGCTGCTGCGGGTCCGCCGCCGGCCTCGACGTCGCGGGGGTCGGCCGCAGCGGCGCTGCTGTGGACTGCTGCTGCTGCTGCTGCTGCTGCTGCGTCTGCTGCTCTGTCCAAGTCGTGAGAAAGTTCAACTAATTTAACTCCAGATATTTCTTCTATTTTCTCTTTTAAATATCGCAGCATTCTCTCCAACTCTTCCAGCCGCTGCAGCTGCCGCCGGTACCCCCGGCACAGGCTGTGGCCGTTCATCTGCAGCACACGCACAAACCCTGCTGCTGCTGCTGCTGCTGCTGCTGTTGCTGCTGCTGCTGTTGCTGCTGCTGCTGCTGCTGCTGCTGCTGCTGTTGCTGCTGCTGCTGCTGTTGCTGCTGCTGCTGCTGCTGCTGTTGCTGCTGCTGCCGCTGCTGTTGCTGCTGCTGCTGCTGCTGCTGCTGCTGTTGCTGCTGCTGCTGCTGCTGCTGCTGCTGCGAAGGCAAGCTCCCGAGGAGGGGCTCGGGGAGGCGAACAGCGGCGCCTTGTGGGGCGCACATGGGATGGGCTGACTGAAATTTTGAACTCTAAACCCTAAACACTAACCCTAAACCCTAAACCCTAAACCCTAAACCCTTACGTCTTGAATTTGCACTTTTACGGCGGTTCCAATGGCGGTGATGAAATCCCTCGCCCCCTCTTGAGGCAGCACCAGGGTGCCTAACCTCATCCGCTGTAAGCACCCACAAACCCTAAACCCTAAACCCTAAACCCTAAACCCTAGACCCTAAACCCTAAACCCAAACCCTAAACCCTAAACCCTAAACCGCGCTCGGCTGAACGGCTATCTATTTGCACACGCTATCTGCTCCTTGCGGTTCCTACCTCGGATCTGAAGATCCCCATCTTGGCTGCAGGTCTAGAATAGCTGCTGCAGCTGCTGCTGCGGTTTTGCTGTTGCTGCTGCTGCAGCCGCTAGTCCTGCCGCTGCAGCAGCAGCTGCTGCCGGCGTTGTTGCTGCTGCTGCTGCTGAGCAGCAGGCAGCGGATTTCTGGCGGCGTTTCCGATGACACTGCTGCTACCTGCTGCGTTTACACTGCTGCTGCTGCTGCGTGTTCGGCTGTGAGACCTGCTGCGCTGCTGCAGGCAGCACAGACATGGCTATGCTTGCTGCTGCTGCTTGCTGCTGCTGCAGGCGACAGGAACAGCAGCGGGGGGAAGTCTAAGTGTCCCTGCTACATGTAAGGAAGCGTTACAATTATGTATTTCCGCTGCTGCTGCCGCTGCTGCTGCTGCTGCTGCTGCCGCTGCTGCTGCTGCTGCCCGTCATATGCCTCACTCCGCCGGCTGGAGATGCCGCTGCTGCCGCTGCTGCTGCTCCTGCCAGCTGTGCTGCAGTTGAAAAGGTGTTTTAGTGCTAAATATAAACAACCTCAAAAGTTTCAGTGCTGCTGCTGCTGCTGATGCTGCGGCAGCTCGCCACTGCAGCGAAAGGCACTGGAGCGGCAGCAGCAGCCACTGCGCCGCTGCTGCTGCCGCCTCCTAGCAGCAGCAGCAGCAGCAGCAGCAAGCTGTTGCCGTAGGAACCCCGAAGCCCCAAGACGCTCCTTTTGCCTTTAAGTTGGACACTTGGTTTCCTTGGGTGCGAGCCCTCGGGTGTCTGTACACTTCGCGTCGTTCCCCCATTTGCTGCGGCGGCTGAACGCAGACAGCAGCTGCTGCAGACAGCGCAGCAGCAGCAGCACCGGCAGCAGCAGCAGCAGCAGCTGCCGACCCGCAACTCGCCCTCTGCTGCGCAACAGCAGCAGCAGCAAGCCCCCACTAGTCGCTCCCAGGGCAGCAGCTGGCTCGGGCCTGGCTCGGGGGCGCCCTTGACTGCACACCTAGCTGCAGCCAGAGCCTCAGCAGCAGCAGCAGCAGCAGCAGCAGCAGCAGCAGCAGCAGAAGATGTACCGCAACCTCTACGACACCGACTGCATCACTTGGTCCCCCCAGGGCCGAGTGTTTCAAGTTGAATATGCAAAGCAGGCGGTTACTCAGGGGACTTGCTGCGTGGGGCTGCGGTCGGACTCCCACGTGGTAAACCCTAAACCCTAAACCCTAAACCCTAGCAAGCCCTGGCTGCGCGCAGCCGTGCCCTCAAACCCTCGACTCCCCTGGGGTCCTTCTACTAAGTGCTTCAGGGTTTAGCTTTTAGAGAGTTTCGGGGGAACTTCAGCCCCCGATGCCTCAAGAGGTCGAGTGCGGCGGCTAGGGTTTAGTAATTAGGGTTTAGGGTTTAGGGTTTGGGGTTTGCGCGCAGGTGCTCTGTTCCTTGAAAAAGAGCCCCTCGAAGCTCGCTGGGTACCAGCAGAAGCTCTTTTGCATCGATGAACATGTTGGAGTTGCAATCTCAGGCATTACCGCTGACGCTAGTAAACCCTAAACCCTCGCCAAACCCTAAACCCTCGCCAAACCCTAGACCCTCGCCAAACCCTAAACCCTCGCAGAGCCGTAACGCGTGGACCTAGTGACCTATCTCCCCGCATTTCTGGTTTTCTTTAGACGTAAACCCCAGCATGAAAGCCCACAGCTTGCAGCCTAGAGCTTGATGTCTAGGGATTAGGGTTTAGGGTTTAGGGTTTAGGGTTTAGGGTTTGGGTGTGGGCTGCAGAGGTCTTGTGCGAAATTATGAGGAACGCGTGCCTCCAGCACAAATTTACTTATGATACGGAGAAGCCAGCGGCAAGGCTTGCGTTGCTTGTGGCTGACAGTGAGTTTCGCAAACCATTATTTAGGGTTTAGGGTTTAGGGTTCGTTGTCTCCGGCCGGGGTTTCTGCAGAGAGACCCTGCCCGTTGGTTTCTAGGGTTTAGGGTTTGGGGGTTCTGCTGATGTGGGCGTGCCGGCAGCGCCAAGCCGCCGGGTGGGGGCGCAGCAAAGTGCTCGAAACCCTAGCCCAAACCCTAAACCCTAGCCCAAACCCTAAACCCTAAACCCTCGTTTGTGGTTTCTGCAGAGTGCCAAAGCAACACCCAGCGCAGCGGCAAAAGGCCCTACGGAGTGGGGCTTTTGATTGCTGCATGCGATGCTTCGGGGCCGCGGCTATTTCAGAATTGCCCCTCGGGCAACTATTACGAATACGACGTAAACCCTAAACCCTAGCTAAACCCTAAACCCTAGCTAAACCCTAACCCTAGCTAAACCCTAAACCCTTCAACCGCCTCAAACCCTCGAACCTCGCTTCTTCAGCCAGGCCTTTCAGAGAGGGGCGGCGGCAGCAGACTGCACGCCAACTGCCGAGGGCTTCCTCTAGGGTCGAGGGTTTAGGGTTTAGGGTTTAGGGTTTAGGGTTTGGGGGGTGCAGGCCGTTGCCTTCGGCGCGAGGTCCCAAGCTTCAAAGACATACCTCGAGAAACACTTCGAGACTTTTCCCACCGGCAAGTTGAAAACCCTAAACCCTTGTAAACCCTACTTTGCAAACCCTAAACCCTTGTAAGCCCTAATTTGCAAACCTTAAACCCTTGTAAACCCTAATTGAAAAACCGTAAACAGTTGTAAACCCTAATTTGCAAACCCTAAACCCTAGCCTGCAAGTTGCTGCCTGCCCACCCCCTGGGCAGAGCCTAGTGGGATCTCTCTACGGCCCACTGGCTCTTGTGTGGGCCGCGAGCCACTCATCTAGGGTTTAGGGTTTAGGGTTTAGGGTTTGGGATTTTTGCAGCTTCACTGGATGACCTGCTCCTGCATGGCGCGAAGGCCCTAAAGGCCTCTATGGCCGCCGACACCGAGTGAGCTGAGGCTCAGGGCTTAGGGTTTAGGGTTTAGGGTTTAGGGTTTAGAGCTGCCCCCACACGGCTTCGGAAGCCCGCTGCTGGAGTTGAATGGGCGTTCGAGTTGAGCGGTTAGGGTTTGGGATTTAGGGTTTAGGGTTTAGGGTTTACTGTGAAGACTGTAGGGTTTGTGCTGCTTGCAGGCTGACAGCTGAGTGTCTTTGCGTCGGGATTGTCGGCCGCGGGCAGCCGTGGCGCGGTGAGGGTTTAGGGTTTAGGGTTTAGGGTTTAGGGTTTGGGGTCTAGGATCGCGCAGGATTCACTGCAGCAGAATATGGACATTAGCACACTCCTCAATCCGAGGGTTTAGGGTTTAGTGTTTGCGGCTTGACGGCTATGGTGCAGAGCTCGACCATGAGGAGCTGCAAACCCTCGTGGATCGTCTCACGGTGCGTTGGTGGTTTAGGGTTTAGGGTTTAGAGTTTATATTCCAAACTTGCGAAAGCAGTATTCTGCAAAGGCATCATACTCTCGAGGGCATGGCCTTGAGGGTTTAGGGTTTAGGGTTTAGGGTTTAGTGCTTGCGGTATGGCTGCAGAACGCTGAATCTAGCGGCGACGGCGGCGACGGCGGTTCTATGGCTGTGGATATGCCGGAGTAAAGCTTCGGAAATTTTGTCGAGGGTTTAGGGTTTAGGGTTTAGGGTTTGAAATTTCAGCCAGTGATACAGCAACCCAGGAAACCCCGTTTCCACTCCTAAGATGTCTCTTTCGAGACGAACTCAAAATCCCAAATATGGTGTTTTAGAAATGACTAGTCTAGGTTTTGGATCTGGAAATTAGGGTTTAGGGTTTAGGGTTTAGCGGAGATCCAGCATGGTCTTCGAGCCAGATGGAAGTCTGCAAGTAGGGTGTAGGGTTTAGCAAGTTCACTTTCTGCAGCATGCGCTTAACACGGGTTTTGCAGTGGCAATTTGTGTTTGGAATAAAACCGCGGTAGGGTTTAGCGTTTAGGGTTTAGGGTTTAGGGTTTCAATTCAGATGGGACAGGAGGGCCCCTGTGGGGCCCTTCTGCCCGTGCTGCGGCGACTTGCTTCCCAATGAGGGTTTGGCAGTTTGATCGGCTCTTTAGAAGTTTCAGCAAAAGTTCAAGAAGTTCATTTAAGTTTTTTCTGGTCTAGGGTTTAGGGTTTAGGGTTTAGGGTTTGGAAAATGGGGAAGGTGTCGAAGGCCCGCAAGCGGAAGGGCCGCCAACAGGCTCTGAAGTCCGACGCAATGGACGAAGACAAACCCCAAAACAGCGGAAAGCTTTCGGAAACTGCGAAAGTCAGCAAATTCAAAAGCTAGGGTTTAGGGTTTAGCGCCTTTTTCTAAGCACTGCAGTCGAAGCAGCAGCAGATTCTTTGCTTCGATGGTGATTAGCGCCCGGAGGTTAGGGTCTAGCGCTCAGCGAGGGTTTGAGTCTAGGGTTTAGGGTTTAGTCTGGGGTTTAGGGTCTGAGGGTTTAGGGTTTGGAATCTTCTGCAGGGCGAAGAGGAAGGAGCAGAAGGCACAAGCAGCCATGCCGTCTTCAAGGTGGGCACTTTGTACAACTTCGACTTCCCTGAAACCCTAAACCCTAATTCTACCCTTTCTGTGAAGCTTTTTTCGCTGTAAACCCTAAACCCTCGCCTCCAAACCCTTGCTAAACCCTCAACCCCCGGACGTTTTGTGGTTCAGCGCCATGCTGCTGAGAGAAAAGCAGTGAAGCAGAAAATCGCGGTTTTGAAGCAGCGGCGGAAGAAGCTGCGGAAGAAGTTTCCGAAAGAAGCTGCAGAAAAACGTGAAATAAACAAAAAGATTAAATCTTTGATAAAAGAAATAACAGACAAACATGAAAAAGAATTAAAAGAATTGGGAATTGTCAAGACAGCTGGCGCTGACGAACTCAAAGATGAAGATATCGACATCGACAACTAAAGCGGCACGCGCCGCTCCGCTGCAGCAGCAGCAGCAGCAACAGCAGCAGCGGTAGTTGCTGCAGCGGCAGCAGCAGCAGCGACAGCGTCTGCAGCTGCTGCGGCAGCCGCAAAAGCAGCAGCGGAAGAGTCTGCAGCTGCTGCTGCAGCAACAGAAGCAGTGGCGACAGCAGCTGCAGCTGCTGCAGCAGCGGCAAAAGCAGTAGCGACAGCACCTGCAGCTGCTGCAACAGCAGCTGCAGCAGCAGCAGCAGCTTTGGGCGTTTTCTTTTTCGCCTCAGATCTGCCAGTGCGAGCTCTCACCTTCAACAGTTTATACTCTTTTAGCAATTTTGTCAAACCCTAGGGTTTTAGTTTTATGCTGTTAGATCTTGGCCTGCTTTTGTTGTCAGAACATTCTTGCGGGGTGTTTGCTGCGACGCATGCCAGTTTTGCATTTTCGGCTAAGTTTCTAAACTATAGATTGTGAACTTGGAGCTTGAGGAGCAGCAGTTTTCTGTAATATAAATCATTAAAAGATCGCAGGCCTAGAGAACCAGCTTGGGTTTCATTTAGGGTTTAGGGTTTGGGGTTTAGGGTTTCGGGTTCAGCTTTGCAGCAACTGAAGTGCTACGGAGGTCGTTGGAGGCCGAGAAGTTCAGCGGCCTTCAGTTTTTTCGATATACTTTTTCTTTTGATAACATTGCGTTAGGATTTGGGACGCCAATTCTTATTCCTCCTTGCAGCACTTGTTTACGTTTAGGGTTTCAAAGAGCTGGCTTCTCTCTTAAAAGTGATTTCGCGGTCGCTTTTCAATTTACCCGGTGAGCCCTCGTCTCACAATATCTTTAACGGATTACGAGCTCTAAAATTCAATTTGTAGACTGCTTTCTTGCTTTGCCTCTGTTCTTGGTCAGAAAGAAGCTGCTGCAATCTCTACAATTGCTGCTGCTGGCTGCATTTCCAGTGTCTTTGCTGATGCAGAGCTGTTCAGTGTTCCGAAATCCATAAATTTCAAGCTAAGTGCTGTGGACCGCAGTGGGATACAGTTTTCATGTCTTTGCTGATGCAGTGGCATCCAGTGTTCTGAAATTCATGAATTTCAAATTAAGTGTTTTGGTCAAGTCTGCAGTGAAACCTCCCGTGCAGCAATTCAAATGAAAGGACAACCTTGGCTTCAGGATAAGGTATCGGCGTCTGCAGCTTGCGGCAACATGAAAACAGTCTTTGCAAGCCTACAAACTTCTCCGTAATCGGTAGAACAGGCATTTCTAAGATAATGGTAGGTGCTTTTCAGATGTTTAGGGCAGTACGTGCGTTGGCACATAAAATTGCAGAGCCCTGAGGCACAAAAGTATGATGGTTTAGGTTCATGCGCCTAAGCTCATACAGCTTTTGCAGCTGTGTGCATCCAAACTACACTGTCATGAAGTAGACATTCAGTTGCAAGAACCTTATTTTGGAGCCTAAAGTTGTCTTTGCCTTCAGCTTTCCGCATTTTCTGGCCTTGGCTGAAAGCAGGCAAGTAAGAGGACCTGCCAGGCAAAAATGCGACGTTGCATTTTTGCCTACCGCCCTGTGAATAAGTTTGTAGTTGAGCTCATTGCTTTTAGAAGTGCTGCTGCCTTTTCTGCCTGCCCTACATACCTGGCTGGTGCATCTTTGCAATGGCCGCAGCAGCTTAAAGTACACACAGGCCAAAATGACACATGGGGAGGTAAAGCCTGGGATATGCAAAATCGGCGCAAGATGGCGGCAAGCCCAGGGTCGCTGGGCCGATATGAATGTTGTTAAGACGTTTATGCTGCCGAGTATCTAACTGACTTGGCAAGAAAAATATCTGGGATCGTAAATGAGAAATGCAACAGAGCCTGCCACCAGTCGAGCCCTAGAGCTGCTACATGCGACTGGGGCTTGAAAGATCAGTGACTACCATTCTTTGAATGTGATATTTTCGCCATCAAATTCTGTAAAAATCTCTTCATGCTCTTCATAGAGAGATTTTCGTTGGAAACACAACGGTGGCTCGTGACTATCGACCACCGACAAGCACGAGCCAACGTCAATGCACCTGAAGCCCTGTCCTATAGCGTAGTTTTCACGGCAGTCGTCTTAGCTCAATATTATCTATTTAACAGATGAAGGGGGAAAATGCTGTAGTAATTTGAGAAGACCTGCGAATAGCGGCAGCAGCAAACGGGCTGCCTCTGCGCATCAGTCGCTGTAGTCACGGAGGTGACCTTCATGCTAAGAGGTATCCTTATACCGCCTGGTTCCGTACTGGATCGGTGTAAACTGGCCGTACTTTTTTCGTTGTTATTGAAAACACATAGCCAACAATTTGCGCCCCATGACTGCCTAGCATTCCCGGCAACACACTGGGGTTCAAGTGTGGAGGCAGTCTGCACGAAGCCCTCCCTCCTTTGGCTCATCACAGCTGAAGAGCTCAACAATTAGTTGCTTCTCACACGATGGCTACCCTCACTCCGCGCCACCGGTGGATGGTGGCTCAGGTGGTATCTTCGTTCAAATTGGCAGAATATGAGCCCCTTGTCGAGGCACTATTTCGGGACCAGTTTGCAATTAAGATCGACCCTTTCCTCAAAGGCACATCATCCACGCAATATCTGTTATTCTCTTATCATGCCGGAACTCATCCGGCTTCTCCACGAGCGGATATTCCAGGCAAACTCATATGCTCAGGTTAGGTTGTCGCTGTCTGTGTAGAAACCGAGTTAAAGCATCAGCAAGAACTTACAAATTAGTTGGCTTACTATCCTGCAAAGCATTATTGGATTCCTTCATTACGAGGCGGCAACAGTGTGCAGAGTTGCAAATTCACAACTGTGATCACACAGACCAACTGTAGCAAGTGCTGGCTGCCAGTTCATCACAAACGGTAGTCACTAGCTGCATCTGCGCTGCAGAGGGCGTCTCGGATGAGGCAGGCTCTAAATATGTTTACTTTCTTCGAACAATTCCGTTCGGGAAGTCTTTGAACTTGAGCACACCTGCCGATGCAGAGCTGGCCTTTGGAGAGCTTCCCGAGTTGCCTCTTCAAGCCCTGCACACGGCATTGTCAGGGATATTTCTTCCTACTGTAGAACACTTCGATAAAGCGGACTGGTGAGCGAACTGAGCTTGTGGTGCCTGCAAGAAGGCATGAGCACGGCAGCGAAAAGTTCCAGGTTAAGGATGGAGAAAGCAAGCAGCAAGCCCAAAGCAAAGAATCATACAGAGCCATTTAGCTAAGGGAGCTTTAAACATGCTGGAATCCATTGCGATAGTGCAAGGAAATGATAACTGCCCTGTGCTTAATTTCTCCGGAGCTGCAGAGCGTGCGAGTTGCGCCAATTGTATTTGTTCAAAGCACAGTTTGCAGGAACAGATTAGTGTCGACATTGGCAAAAATATGCACTAAAAATAAGAGATGAATATCTTTAGGCGAGGGTAAGCTTGCAAAGGTGAAAGCTCATTTTTTTCTCAGGAAAAAATGCACAGACGAGCAGCGTAATGAGTTTCTCGCCTGCACACGAACACTTTGCAAAGAGCTGGGAGAGGCGATTGATGCTTTAGCTCATGGAATTCAGCTAAAACAACCAGATCCAAGGTAAATGAGGCAGCATGGCTTGCAGGTAGTCATGCCCCTCTGTTTTTGTCATTTGACGTCCTGTTTCCTGTGCGTTATGATTAAAAGAGTTGTTATTACGGTGATGGAAGCCGACACGTCTACCCCTGGTGCCACGCCGTTGTCTTTCACAGGTTCTCTCTGGCAGACATAAGAATGGACTACATTGCAGCTGCCAAGAACCCTGACATTGTGTCTCATTTTGAAGAGCTCCTAGATGACTGGTGCAAGGAGATCGAACGGTACTTAGAAGCATCGCTTGACAAAGGTGCAGCTATAGCCGATAACGGTCCCCGCAGCGAAGTAAGCATTAACGCATATACCCTTTTGTTTTGACAGCCCGACTTATTTTGAGACATTCAAACGTCTTTGAATTAATAGAGCTCCAGCTGCACAATGCAGCCGTTTTCCACGTGCATGTTGAAACGGCGTCGTAGATTGAAAACTGGAGGGGCAGAATGAGGAGGCTCAGCTCGATCATTCAGCAGTTAAAGAGCGACACCTGCCACACAGTGTTTCAGGTGCTTCATGCTGTTACGAAGGTACGCTAGTACTACACGACGAACTCGGAGCCTCTTCCCCCTTGAACTCCATGTCCTTTTTCACAGAGTGCCACGCCATGCTTGTTGTTTGTGTTAAGTTGGCTGCGGCAATGCGCGGTTTTTTTCTGCACAACAGTTAGCCTCAGGTGTGTCGCCGAAGTCTCGACAATCCGTTTTCCACACGATGAGACGATGCAAGCAGCTGGATGTGGCCATCACAGAGGCCTTTAGCGAAGCCAAGGACAACGTGAAGTATTTGGCGACACTGGAAAGGTTTATAGACCCCCTTTACTCAGGTTTGCTCCCCCAGCTGCTACTCATACCTGCTTGGTTGCTTTTGGTCCTCTTACCACGCATGCTGATTGCTTTCAAGTAACCTTCGCATAGCAGCAGCATTTGGATCGCCTTCCTACAGGAAACCCGGCAAGCATTCTTGAAAGCCTAAGCGCGCTGATGAGTGCAATAACAATGATACATTCCATCTCGCGGTACTACAATACGACTGAACGAATGGTTTCATTCTTCACGAAGATAACGAAGCAGGCATGTTGCTACTCCTCAATCCACAGAGTGCCTGAAAATTCGTAATGCAAGCAGCTAATGCAGTAGTAAAAGCACCTAACTTGTGAAGACGGAGTCTGTTTCAACCTAGCTGCTGCGTAGTTTGCCTCCAGATGATTAAAAATTGCCGTTTATGGCTGACTGGTGGCGACCACCATGAAGCATTGTGGGAAAGAGAGCCTGAAGTCATAATTCCAATGCTGCAGTATTGCTTGAAGTTGAACGACGCCTACCATGAACAGTATCACGTAACAAGAGAGCGGCTAATGGCTATTTCAAAAGGGAAGCAGCTTGAAGTTTCCGATCAAGATATATTCAGCAGGATGGACCTCTTCTGCCGGCGAATTCAGAAGCTGATATCTATGGTAGGTGTGCACTGGCCTATACCTGATGAAGGGATGAGCGCAACTTTGCCGCCACTTAGGGCCAGCAACCTCATGTGCAAATGCTGTTCACGTGGAATTTCTCCCGCTTCAGTAAAGCTTTCACGTGCATTTGGCTCAGTACCTCGAAACAAAATCTGGCGCCTGTTTTGTGTGAATGTTTTCAACGTGTGGCTCTGTGTTTGTGATGATATATCGTTCGCGTTTGCTTTCTTGTGATGGTGTTGCCAGTATTCGACGATTCAGCAGTTCAGCAACATTGCTGACCAGAAGTTTGAAGGCATGGATATATATGTAGACCGCTTCAAGGTGAGCCGCCCGTCCATTTTGCCGTGATTGGTTCAAGGAAAAGACCAAACGCTAGCTGCACTTTGTGGTTGCTGCTGCTTGTAGCCAGGTCCCTAAATGCTACGACGGTACTGTATCCTAGCTTGTAGTTCTATGTTTTCAATGGAGTGATTACCATTGCTTCCTGTGAAACGGCGTCCGTTCTTGCTCTTTCAGGCTATTTTTAATGATTTCAAGGTCAAGCGGCACGATCTCTTAGACTTCTACAACAACCGCTTCGACCGAGACTTTGTGGAATTTTCTGTCCGTGTTTCGAACTTGGAGAGCAGCATGATTCCGCAGATAAATGAAGTAAGTACACTTTTGAGCGACTCCAAGTGCGCTGTTTGTTATCATTGGTTCGGCCTCCTTAGCGCGAAAACAGCCTGTGGCGCACTGTACTGCAGATTTTTGAGACCACATCTTCAATCGACGAGTCGCTGCGGCTGCTCCAGAAGTTGCAAGAGACTGTATTCAGTGAGAATTTGAAAGCGGAGCTGAAGGGCAAAATCAGCCTCATCATCCACCGGTACAGCATTGAGCTGGTACAGGTACGCATGCATCTCAGCCCATAGCTCGCTACTTTCCGCGGCCATCCATTGTACTGAATGTAGTGGCTAGTTCATGCTTAATCTGTGCCTAGATCCAAGAGGAATACGAACGGCACAAAACTAACCCCCCACCGAGCAAAGACATGCCGCCAATTCCCAACAACATAATTTGGGCTCGGGATCTCTTGAAAAAAATTGAGGTAACTCTCTTTCGCTGTCGGTACCAGACCCGGTGTTACTGTTGCTAGAAGTACCTCAACCTGCATACGAACTTTACATGCACAAGCACACAGGCACGCCGTACTTAGAATTGGAGGTAAGAAAAGCAACGTGAGCTGTGTGGCGTTCGTAAATGTGCCGGCTCAATTTGCAGGACCCCATGAAACAGTTTCAACTGCACCCATCAGCACTATCTACGAAAGAGGGCAAACGCACAATCAAGCTATACAACAGAGTAAGCCCCGCTCATTAAGTACTTTCAATTGCGCACACCGACCAACAAAGCCCGCCTGGCAGTAGAGAGGTTTGAATTCGGCAAGTGTCTCTCATGAGTGCATACGTTGATTCAAGTGACCTATGCTGGTGTCGACCATAGGCAGAAAAGGGGCCTAACAAAGTAGCACGCTAGAGTTCGTCTCTTTTGTTCAGGTAGCTGAGACTTTAGTGGAATATGAACTGAGGTGGCACCAAGCTTGGACAGAATGTGTCCAAGCCACGGCTGCGGGCTTGAATAACAGCATCCTCGTCCGGAACCCCAACACTGGCAAGTTGTCGATAAACTTCGATGGCGACATCGCACGGCTGATTCGGGAAGCCAAAGTACTGGAAAGGATGAGCATTGATATACCCGAGAGCGGCCGCATCGTGTTTTTAAGAGAAAAAAAGCTGAAGGGATGCTTTGACGAGCTCAAATTTGTTCTTGATGTGCGCAAGCTCCGCTTCGGCCTCCTTTTGCACAGCCTGCTACGAAAACTCGATCAGTACCATGGGGCCCAGACGTGCCCCTCTGCAAGAAAATAAAGCTGTCAGAAGCAGATGATTTCCGCACACTGAAAAGCTTCTTGGCTGCTGAGGCTGTTGAGGGGGCCGACAGACTGAAAACCCAACGGCTACGCCCTGAGAAGTTGCTGCAGTATGCTGCGTTGCGCTTCAGGAGTACCAAAGAGTATCCTCAGCAGTTCGTCCTGTAACTGCAGGCCTTCTACAAATGCATCTCGACGGCTTCGAGAGGCACCTGGCGCCCGGGTTATCTAATCTGACTTGGGCATCCCTTAATATAGAAGGGTTCTTGCAGTCTGCGACCGCTGCTTTGGAAAAACTGGATTTGTTGGTGGTGACAGTCAACGACATTATAGAGAACAGAATAGAAAACAACATCAAGGTGGGATTAGAGCGTCGTGAAAAGATAAACGGTTCTAGCTTTTGCTCACTGTTTACGGAGGAGAGGCGCTGGTTTAAGGCACAGTGGTCTGGGTTTCCTTGCAACGTGCGAACTGTTTGTGCGCTTGTGGTTAATGCAGTCACTTGCCGAAACACTCCTAGTAGACCTACCAGCTGCGGGCGAAGTGATATCTCTAAATCGTTTCGTGGAAATGCAAGAACACCACGTCGCGAAGTGCACAGAGCTGCTTAATGCTCGCTCTGTAGAAATCGAAAACGCTGTTAGAGACCTGCTTGAAGTCATTCAGAAACAGCCCTTGGAGCTGGCTAACTCTGTAAGATAGCGCATTTCGCAGCAACGCAGCAGCGAGCTGCGTGCATTATCCACAGAGCTGGCAGGAACTGTTGTTTACACCGAGAAAGCTGAGTTTTTGGAATTTAGGGCTTCAGACGTGAGCGGTGTAATGTGGTGACAGCTTGAGCGGTCTGAGTGGCACTGCAGGTGTCATTTACAGAGGAAGCCGAGAAACTTAACTCACAATACGAATGGAACCTGTATAAGGCCATTCTACTGGCCACTCGAAGGTCGTTTGACTTCCTCAGGCGCCATATGTATTCAGCGCCAAACTGTAATCCTTTCAGCCCTTCCGCATCTTATCCGCACGGCATGGCTATGACATGTTCTGATGATATATTCATAACGATGCATTTATACGCGTATATACGTGTTTGCATACTCGTATATGGGTATACGAAAACTAGGGTATGCACGTATATACATGCATGTATAGAAATTCGCATTGTACTCTATATGTATGCTTTTCGTCGGCATTTACGTGTGTTTATATAGTGTATATTTACATGTACTCATGTGTACACGTCTGTGTACGCAAACACATCATATACATCCATGCTTTTGCATGTATGTATTTAGAGCGACTAAATGTATTGCAGCCAGAGGCTACCAAATGCATTCCGGCCAAAGGCAGTGGGCAATACTGCCGACCGTAACCCAATATCATGTTTCGCAGGCTCAGCGCCATCTGCGTGCGCCGTTAACGCCATATTCGAGGTTGATATTCAGTTGGACGGGACGGGGGTGAGGCTTCAGCCGTCGATCGACGACTTTCAGGAGGCAATAAACAGGTCGGCAGTGGCGATCTTAAATTGTTCAAAAGGTATTCGCCAGTGGGGTGCAAGTGAAAGAAGAGACGGGAGTGAGGCCGCAGCAGGCCCACGCTGTAACGGCTTTAGTGACCGCATGACGGGGGAGAGGGACATCCAGAAAGTTCTTCTGTGCTTTCTCGGATCAATCCAAAATATCCGAGACGAGGTCTCCAAGTACCTCGTTAAATTTGACGTGAGATGCAACGTCACCGACGTACAATTAATATGTGTTTCGGTATATAAAGTCGATGTGTAGTTAACGCTGTCGCTTAGCACACTAATTAGACCATTTGTCAGCATCTCTGGCAAATCCAGAATACGCCAGCACAAGTGCCGCTATGCGTCTCTACTTATAGGCATTCAAGTGGCTCTGGTCGGAGCCTTGCAAGGAGAACTACTTAGCATTCGCGAAGCAGAATCCATCATTGGAGGACTTTGAAAAAAAGCTGAAAAGCTTTCGAGACGTTGAAACACAACTGAACTCAATGGAGCAGGCAAAACCGATTGGAATGCTGCTAATAAACAGTTCGGCGCTTTTCCCCCAGGTACTGCTGGCCCCACCGTCCTTGTTCCTACGCCCGAAAATTGCTTTTATTAGCGACTTGCCTTCGTTTGGTGAGATTGCAAGGCACCGGTTCGTTTTCCTGCGTAGCGGAGAGACAAAGGGGGATTTAATAATTGCAGTATGCTTTCAGGCGTGTGCCAGTGGTGGCTGTTTAAAATTTTGTGTGCCGTTGTTGCGTGCTAATCAGCTAATAGAGCTTGCCAGAAAGTGGAACGTATACTACCTTAGCCAATTACACGTCAGCGCGAAGGAACGCTTGGAGAAACTAATGGAGCAGATTCGACAGGGGTATAAAGGTCTTCATCGTCCGGTGGCCGACATAGATGCCTTGCGGCACGTCATGGACACACTCACGTCGATAACTCAACAGGAATCGGGTAAGGAAACATCCGTACTATTCCTGTGAAGCAGAAGCTTGATTACCTGCTCAGTAGCTCACTACATATTTTTCCACCGCCCCTTGATCTGTACGCTCGTGCGCAACTGATTCCAGACATAGAGACACAGTTTGAGCCGGTCTTCACGATGTACAGCATGATCGACCGCTATCTTCCAAGCAATGTGGTACTTATTGACAAAGACGAACAAGACCAGAGGCTTCTTCTGCGTTCGTCTTGGTCCAAGTTGATCGAGGAAGCTCAGGAAGCGCAAGCGCGCCTGCAAAAAATGCAGCCAACGTACAAGAGGGAGCTCATTCTTAACATTAATGCCCTAAAGGCAGACTCGAAACAGTTCAGGGAAGAGTTTACGAAAAACGGGCCTGCATGCCCGGGCATTAGACCCAGGTGTGGAGCAGCATAGGCCACGCGCACCTTCAGCTTCGTTGTATGCGCCTATATTTACTTCTATGCGCATTGCACCGTATGTGAATCAAAGTTCTTACGCATGCACATACATATGTTTCATTCGGTTTACATATAGTTACCGGGTGCGGCGTGTGGGTGGCTGTTATTTTAAAGGGATGCAGTGGAGCGTGTCAAACGGTTCAAAGCAGAATGTGATGTACGAACCCGGAAACAGGAAGTCTACTACGCAGGGGAGGAACTCTTCGGCTTTCCCCATCAGGCGTATCCGGAACTCGAGCAGACAAAAAAGGAGTTAGCGAACTTGACTCTGCTCTATGACATTTACGTCCAGGTAAGCAAAACAACGGTAGCCGTGGCATAGATTCTTTTGCCCCAGAAGCATCTTTCTGAGAAATCAGTGAACTTGAATTATTGGAGAAAAATCAACCCATTTTGCCACAGAGCCACCAAGTGTTGATTAGCTACCGGTGCGCAGGTCATAGATACTATCAAGGAGTGGAAAGATATACTTTGGGCAGAAGCTCCCCCGCAAATACCCTACATGACGGAAAAGATCCAGAACTTTTCAGACGCTTGCAGAAAATTGCCCAAACAGCTGAAGACCTCTGACGCCTTCGCTGAGCTCAAGAAGGAAATAGACGACTTTACAGAAGTGCTTAAGCCTTTCTGAAACTGAAATTATCTATCATGAATCGTGTATAGCCTATTCTGCAGAGCGAACGCTGAGCACCGAAGCCTTGAAAAGGCTACCTCAATTTGTATGCTGCACGAAGCACATCGTGTATGAATCAATCCCGCAAAGAGCTCCACCTGCCGCTTCGTTTGCACCTGCTGTGTTGTTCAGGTTTTGCCGCTTTTGAAGGAGCTGAGCAAACCGTCCATCGTAGCACGTCACTGGAAGCAGGTAGAAGACGTCATTGGGAAACCCCTTGGTACTGAGAACGAGATGACGCGCTTGCAAGCACTACTTGATGCAGATCTGCTTCAGTACAAGGTGCATGACGCTTCGGCACTGCCGTTTGAGGCTGCCAATCTTGGCACATCATTGTGAATATTTTGTTTTAGTGTCTCAACTTCAAGTGCGCACGTCAGTGTGGCTGTGCCACGAGCACGTGATTTTTGCCACTTCAGCCAGCAGTGGGCCATTTGCCACTACTGCGTATTTTCTTTGCTATGATACCACTGTAGGATGACATTTTTGACATCTGCGAGTCAGCAGACAAACAATTGGTGATAGAGGGGAAACTAAAAGACATTGAGAACATGTGGAAGACTAGCATGCTTGAATTCGGCAAATGGAAATCACGGTGGGCGACAGCCATAGCGAACAGTATTGTCTTGAAACCAAAATTTTGACTTCTGACCCTGCCCTTTCAAATGCTGATCGTCTGGCGTGGAAGCCTTCCACGTGCTTGCAAGGCATTCATAGTGTGTGTTTTCCAGCACGGAAAGTGTAATCACCCATGTCCTTTTGTGCAATGGCACTTGTTTAGAGATTACAACTGCATTCTGCAAGGAGGACGCGTGCAAGAGATTCAGGAAATGCTTGAGGAGTCTCAGATGACACTCAACACGATGAATGCCATGCGCCATGTCGCACCTTTCAAAGAAAGGGTAGTCAACATGCTCACCACACTCTCAGATGTCGCAGGTTGGTCCCAAGCAGCAGCCATTAGTATTCTTGGATTTCTGTTCCGAATGCACCAGAAGCAAACAGCTCATGCCGTCTTCACGTTAGAGTAAGCACTGTGTTGCAGACACAATCGAAAGCTGGACAAAAGTTCAAGTATTGTGGACATCACTGGAGCCCGTATTCACTGGAGGTGATATCGCTAAGCAGATGCCTGGCGAGGCCAAGAGGTTCCATGCCATTGACAAGGACTGGGTGAGGCATTTTCTGCACAGTGGCATTTGCTGCGGTTGCACCAAGTGATCACCAAAAACTGGAGCTTCATGACTGTCAGCTACCACCCCGGTGTCTTGCGGCTGCGTTTGCAGACAAGGATTATGGCAAGAGCATCAGAGACTCTCATTGTAGTAGAGTGCTGTCAAAATGAGCTTCTGAGACAGCTACTCCCCACGCTATTCTCTGGTCTTGAGAGCTGCCAAAAATCGCTGGAGTCGTACCTTGAGGGCAAGCGCAATAAGTTTCCGCGTTTTTATTTCGTGTCTAATCCTGTACTTCTGAAGATCTTGTCTCAAGGATCGGACGCAGAAACTGTTCAAGATGACTTGGGAAAGTTGTTTGACGCCATTTCCAGAGTAGGAAACTGTAGCTTCTTTCCCGTGTGCTTTGTTGGTTCCTCCAAATGAGGGCACCTAAGCTACACTCGGGGAGGCAAAGTTTAGAGATACTGAATGGCAGGACTGTCGGGCGTTCGAGCGTGTGTTGAAGGTTGAATTTGACAAAGCGGATCGAAAGAAGATAACAGCTATTAAAAGCGTAGCCGGCTCAGCAGAAGAAGTGGTTCTTCTGAGTAATCCTGTGAAAGTGGAGGGAAACATAGAAGAGTGGCTTCGTTCGCTGGAGTCCCAAATGCAAAAATCAGTTCGGAGGGAATGCAAATACGCTGCTCATGAGTCTGGGTCCATATACACGCAAATGACGTTGCGGGAGTTCTGCGACAAGTACATTGCCCAGGTGGGGTGCTGACTATTTCGATGTACAGTATGAAACAGCCTTTGTTCCTACTTATCTGTGAAGTCCTACTCTGCCACGCGTTAGACGTTGCTAGCTTGCTCTCGGATTTAGGATGGAGACAATTATATGCACTTGGTGCAAAGCTCAGGTCTCGCTACTAGGGCTTCAGATGGTGTGGACAGCGGACTGCCAGGAAGCCTTAGACAAGATGTCTAAAGAACGCGACCGCACAATAATGTCACAAACAAACAAAGTCTTCGCCACTATGATGGCAGATCTGGTGCAATGCTGCTTGTCGGACCTTGGGACTAGCCTCAACCGCACAAAGTACGAAACGCTTGTTACGATTCATGTCCACCAGGTAAAAATACACAGAAAGGAGACTCTTTCACAAACATTTTAAGCGTTTGGGCAAATGGTGCAAATTTCTCTGCCTCGTACCCCACTGCCCAATACAGCATCTCCAACGAATTCCGGTTTTCTCCCTGACGCACCACAGTAGTCTGCAAGATAAAGAAACGAATTAAAACTTGGCAACAGTGAAGGATTTGAAAGGCCAAAACGCAAAGGCCTACTTTGTTGTGCCTATGGAAACGGCGCTTTGAGTCGCGGTCTTGTTTCTCCCGGTTCGCGAAATGTGCAGCGAGATGTGTTCGCCGACATTTGGAAGAAAGTCAAGGAGCACCGCCTCAAGGATTCAAGCGATTTTGAATGGATGAAACAGACCCGCTTATACTGGAACAACGACGCAGAAAGTGCAGTCATCTCAATTGCCGACGTCGAGTTTTCGTACTGCTATGAGTATCTTGGGGTCAAGGAGCGGCTGGCGATTACTCCGTTGACAGATAGGCAAGTCGCTTAGGATACATTTGTTCGCTGGTAAAACAGCCACGGGCTAACGTGAGACATGTGTGCAAACTAAATGGACAAAAGCAGCTGTTCTCGAGAAGCTGCTGCGGTTCAAAAAATCAGGTGCTACCTTACGTGCTCCCAAGCGCTGGGCATGTTTTATGGTGGAGCTCCTGCTGGCCCCGCGGGAACAGGAAAAACTGAGACAGTAAAAGATATGGGGAGGACTCTAGGTGTTTTTGTGGTCGTCACCAACTGTTCGGACCAACACCGTTTCACTGACATGGCGAAGATCTTTAAGGGTCTATGCCAGAGCGGTTTATGGGGCTGCTTCGACGAATTCAATCGAATCGACTTGGAGGTCTTATCAGTTGTCGCAATGCAGGTCTGTAGGCATACGTAAAAGAACGCACAAAGACTATGGATAAGTTGACTCGCTTACGTTTTCAACAGGTGATGTACAGCATCATGCCGAGCACGATTTTTCTCATCACGGATGTAAGCGTAGGTGCGCTTGTGAATTCAGATAGAGTCCATAACCATGGCAAAAAAACAAGCTCTAAAGTCATTTTTGTTCCCCGGGGAGTCGGCGCCCATCAAGCTAGTGCCAACCACAGCATACTTCATTACCATGAATCCGGGGTATGCGGGAAGGCAGGAACTGCCGGAAAACTTGAAAGTGTTGTTTCGAAGTGTGTCTATGATGGTCCCTGATAGACAGATAATCATAAAGGTAGGTGGCATATGACAGCTTCATGTATACGTCTGGCAGTCACTTTGAAGCGCCCTGCAGGCATTAAACTCTGCTCCTTCGCAACTGAGTAGTGTGGACTTTTCTTTGGAGAGCTCTTCTACGTTTGTATACTGTTAATAAAAGGAGTTAGACCAACTCCTCGTCGTAAGTGTTCAATTATGGCCCATTAGGACGAAACCTCCTGTTGGTTTTCCTGCAGGTCAAACTGGCTTCGGTAGGGTACATGGATATTGACAACCTTTCAAATAAGTTTAAAGTGCTCTACGGCTTGTGCGAAGAACAGCTTTCAAAACAGAGACACTATGACTTCGGTCTGAGAAACATCTTGTCCGTGCTTAGAACAGCGGGAGCTACAAAACGCAGCGAGCCGGATGCGGACGAAGAAATGCTGCTCATGAGGTACGTAGTAGGAGACAGCCAGGAAGTAATTTCTGAAGCGCTGACGATCCCGTAAAAAAATTACAAAGTCCTTCGGGGAGCGATGCGCACAGAACTCTTCGTGATATGAACTTATCCAAGCTGGTTGCGGATGATGTTCCCCTCTTTCTTTCACTCCTGTCCGACATTTTCCCTCGTCAATCCAATCCGCCAAAGACAGTATATCAGGAGATCGAAAACGCAGTTGTGCAGGAGCTACAGAAACGTGGGCTCGTTCGTACTGATGAATTCTTTCTCAAAATTATGCAGCTCTACGAGGTACGAAAAATATGGAGTTTGGAAAGGTTTGCTGGCCGTCTTCGGAGCCCCTTTTTAGCATGTCGGTTGTCCGCAGTGTACTGTTGTGTTCCTACCTCAGACGTCTGTCGTCCGTCATGGGTTCATGCTGGTTGGCGACTCTTGTTCCGGGAAGACAACAATTGCAAATACACTCACAGCGGCACTAACAGCCACAGGGCAGCAAACACGAATTGTGACGATGAACCCGAAAGCAATCACTGCTCAGCAGATGTACGGCGTCAAGGATGCAATATCCGATGAATGGACACCAGGTATATTTGCCTGGATGTGGTCCCGTTACAACAATCGGGCGTTGAAATTCAATACCTGGATAACGTGTGACGGGCCCGTAGACGCCATTTGGATTGAGAACCTCAATACAGTTCTGGATGACAACAAAATATTGACCCTAGCAAACAATGATCGCATTCCAATGACGGAAAACACAAGGTACAGATGCAGGGTTCAAGCATTCGTCACTAGCAGCTACCCAGTGCCGAACGTGCCCGTCAGTTCTACGGTTTGCCCTGCAGAATGCACCCTAACAACAATGCAGCGCACAGTTGTCCCGCTGTGCTACTTTTTTACTGCATTCAGGATCGTGTTTGAGGTAGAAAATCTTAACAATGCGTCACCAGCTACTGTAAGCCGAGCTGGGATTATCTTTGTTTCCTCGTCGGATTTAGGATGGAAGCCGTTAATTCAGAGCTGGCTGGAGCACCTTTCTGTAGAAACACCTGAAGGACCTCAGAAGGCGAAAATAATGAGAGAACTTTTTGACAAGTGAGCAGCGTTTTTACAGTGTTTTTGTGGCTGCACTTACGTGCAGTTGTGCCACACTGCTAAGTGGCGCCAGGGTGTTCTTGTCATTCCACAGACTGCTTGAAATCATCCGTGCTTGTCTGTGGTGGCATGATCAGGTACATTTCTTCATCTCAAGTGTACGACTTTACCCTTCGGGAGTGTACTCACGTGATGAAGATCACGCCGGCTGTGATGACTGTTCAATTATTGAACTTGCTAACTAGCATGCTGAATTTCTATGAGGCAGGCAGCGAAGGGTTGACCCCGCAAGATTATGAAAATTTCATGGTGTACGCTGTAGCTTGGTCTTGCGGGGCACTATTTGAACCCGATGACAGACAGAAGTTCAGCACATTTTTGCGTGACCAAATGCTGTCGCCTCATCAGTGCGATCCGGGACTCACAATATTTGACTATTTTGTGGACCCGAAGACAAAAAAGTTTCGGAGATGGAAAGCACCTGATTGGACGCCGCCTAAAGGCCCTTTCTCCTTCTCTTCCATACTGATACCTACTCTAGACTCGGAAAGGTTCGGAAACCGGGATACGATAAGCAGTAAAGTAAATTAGTGCCGCGTTGATAGGGCATATATATGTACGTTCTCCCGTAGTGCATTCCGCTTCTACTCAGCATTTGTAATTCGTTTACAGGGCCGAATATATCATGAATCACATGACGAAACTGCCCCAATCAAGGAACCCTCCATCGTTCCAGTCTGTTCTGCTGCTGGGTGGACCTGGGACGGCCAAGACATCCACAGCGCTCATGTTTCTGGGGAAGCTCGATGCCAACGAAACCTTGTGGAAACGGGTCAACCTTTCGTCCGCCACGCTTCCAGAGCGATTTCAACAGACCATTGAATCGAACCTAGAGCGCAAGACAGGAAAGACTTATTGTCCGCCCGGCGGGAGGCAGATGATCTTCTTCTTGGACGATATGTCCATGCCATTCGTTAACAATTGGGGCGACCAAGTGACGCTCGAGCTACTGCGTCAACTGATCGAGCAGGGAGGCTTTTATTTCCTAGAAAAAGACAAAAGGTAGCTCTTTCCCTTATTGTCAGCGACCCGACGCCTTTCCGCTCTACGAAAAGTTAGCGCATTTATACAGGACCGATGCTCAGTGCCGGTGCGTTGACAGGGGAGATTTCAAGTCAATAATTGGTCTGCAATACATTGGAGCAATGAATCATCCAGGGGGTGGTCGTAATGACATTCCAAATCGCCTGAAGTCTAAATTCTTCTCGCTAAACATGATTTTACCTTCATTGGTATCAGTGGACAATATATACGGATCGATGATTCGAAGCAGAATAACCCTCAAGAACGGTGCCACTCCTCTGGTGAGTTTTCCCGTGCCTTCATAGATTTGGAAAAGTCATTTCGTCAGTCATGCCTGGCATCTGATACTACGGACTCATTAAGTCCCAGTGACCATCGGCATGTCATTCAGGTCATTGAAATGTCGTCGAAGCTCACTCAGGCGACAATAGATGTATGGCTTGAAGTCAAAAAGTCTCTTTTACCCACACCGAGCCGTTTCCATTACATATTTAACTTACGGGACCTTTCGCGCGTATTCCAAGGAGTTTTGAACTGCCCTCTGGAGGCTGTGAACACTTGTGAACGCTTCCTTGGCTTGTGGAAGCACGAATGCACCCGTGTTTTGGCAGACAAGTTGTGCCGGAAGATCGATAAAGACCTTGTGGAAAGGGCGATTAATGATGCTTGCGCCAAACACTTTGGCGTCGCTCTACAGAAGAGCGTGTCCGAGACACCCTGGTAATTCTAAGTCCCAGCTTGCGTTTGCTGCCCCCAAAGCAGGCGTCTACACACTCCACCAGGAATGCAGCTCAAGGCCTGAATAAATGTAGTTCAAGTATCATCAGGATAGCTGAGTAGCTTCCTGCGTTTTTTAACCTCTACGCAATCTCCAGGAAGCCTGCAAACAGCAGCTTTCACCGTCTGAGTTGCTTCCAGGTTCGCTGACTTCCTCCGGGAGCCGCAGGAAGATGAATCTGGGGAGCTCATGCCTGCACAGAAGGTCTATGAGCCTGTTCCTAATCTGCAGTTGGTCCGAACCCGAGCAATGGAATACCTACAGAGATATAACGAACAAAACCCTGCCAAGGCAGCCAATTTGGTTTTATTCGATGATGCGCTTGCTCATCTGATGATCATTTCGCGGATTATCCAGGTGGGCTAAACACGTTTGGCAGATGTATGGGCTGAGTTGCGAAGTAGTAGACATGGTGTTTGTTCTCTTGCTATATCAGGAACAGACTAGTGGTGATGTTGTTTTCAGATGCCGCGTGGATCAGCAATGCTGGTAGGCGTTGGAGGCTCTGGAAAGCAGTCGCTGACTCGTTTGGCCTCCTTTATCGCTGGTCATGACCAGTTCCAAATCGCAATAACCAAGACGTACAACGACAACGCCCTATTTGACGATTTCCGGAGCCTGTACATAAATACTGGTCAAAAGAACTTGCACACGACATTTATTTTGACGGACCTTGAAATAAAGAGCGACGGATTCCTCGAATACTTTAACTCTTTCTTGTCCACTGGGGAGATCTCAGGTCTTTTCGCCAAGGACGAAATGGATGGTATGTTCTGCGCCATCTATAATAGCTGTCAACCTGCAATCTGCGATTTACGGTTCGAACCTATGCCTTCACGTTTATCTTCTACATTCATGCCTTTGAGGTGATCTCTTCCCTGGATGAAAAGGTGCGTTGGACATATCAAGTACATGCATCTAACTGGCATTTTTCTTGAGTGTCTCAGCAATGGTAGCTGACAGAAGAGCAGACTTTGTCAAAGAGTGTCCTCACTTGGAAGAGACCATGACAAATATGTACAACTTCTTCCTAGACCGCGTTCGGGCAAACTTGCACATCGTTCTTTGTTTCTCTCCACTCAGCAAAAAGTTTTCAGGTCGGCTGCACTGCTGTCTGTTCAAAGCAGAAAGTAGAAAGTGGATGCAGACAGTGGATGGATGCACCCTGGCAACAGTTTGTTTCAGTTTCAAGCCATACTTTTCGCACCCTGGCCTCATATACTCCATGAAGAAAGATGCGTTTTTTTTTAACTTCAAAGCTTCCTAATAACTTCGCTTTGTGGGTGTCAGAGAGGGCGCAGAAATTCCCTGGGCTTTTCAGCTGCACAACTATTGATTGGTTCCTGCCTTGGCCCGAAGCAGCCTTAGTTGCTGTTTCATCAAGCTTCTTGGATAAATTTGAAATTGACGCTAGTTCCGAAAAGAAGGCTGTTCTGTACAACGTCATGGGCAATCTGCACAACAATGTAAGCGGCAGTACATCATTTACACTCTGAGGTTGTTCCTAGGGCTCTGAGAGCACAACTTCATCCTGGCGCCATTTTGTCTTAAAGTGTAGGGCTTGCGCTTACGACGTTAGTCATATGGGCAATCGCGGACACTTTTGTACAGAGAACTCGAATGAAGCTGTGCATGCATTTGCTTGCTTCGGGCTTTCAGGTTAATAGAATTTGCGACGAGTATTTTAGGCGGATGAGACGGCGCGTATACGTCACGCCAAAGTCCTACCTCTCATTCATTAACTTTTACAAGAAGGTTTACACTGAGAAATTCTCTGAAGTTAACAACCTCGAGCGCAGGTAGGAACTCAACATGCTCGTAGCATGATCACTGTTGGTGCGACTTTTCACCGGATGAAAAGTCGCGTTATTTGAGTTCTTGTAACGACGATTCAGCGTCAATGTCGGGTTAAAGAAACTCAATCAAGCTGCTCAAGACATAAAGCAAATGAAGGTGCAGCTAAAGGCAGAAGAGAAGAAGCTTCAGGAATCGGAGGTTCAAACAAATCAGCTTTTAGCCAAAGTCCAGAGCGAGTCTGCAAAGGCGGAGAAGAAGAGCCAGGGAGTACGTCACAGCAAACCTGGGCTGGCAAAAAAAATTGAGTATGGGTCCGCCGATAAGTTGCAAAAGGCTTTTGACTTAGTCACGTCTGCAGAGGTCTTTTCAAAAGGAACTTTGAGATGCCCATGAGCGTTATATCTGCGATAACCTTCTGCAGGTGGCAGCATTTCGTGATGAATGCCTTAAAAACAAAGAGGAGATTCAAAGGGAACAGGAAGAGGCTAACAATGACTTGCAGGCGGCTTTGCCCTACCTTCGTGAGGCTGAAGATGCAGTCAAGTCAATCACTGCAAAGGACATAGTTGAGCTAAAAACAATGAAGACACCCTCAGATATTATCCGCCTTGTTTTCGACGGAGTTCTTATCCTCTTACAAAATCGGCTGGCAGAAGTTAGGGCAGAGTCGAAGGTGATAAACAAGAAGCAGATTGACTTCATCCATGATTCCTTTGACGAAAGCGCAAAAGCGATGATGGCAGACGTGCACTTTTTATCTAACCTCTTTGATTTCTCCAGGGTCAGTTCACTCACGTCCTTCCGCGCGTCTTGGTTGCTAACAATGTGCTGTAAACGGAGACCAAGAAAATTATCTTGGGGAGAAAACGAATCCTTATACTTTCTTTTTCCGCCCCGGCTCATTGTGCGTTTTGTTGGAATAGAAAGAAAAGGACAATATCAATGACGAGACGTGCGAGCTGTTGTTACCCTACCTAGAAGTTGAGCATTTCAATCCAGCAGTCGCTAAAAAAGCCTCTAACGCTGCTGAAGGTGAGAATTAGATTGCATTCCTCAGGAAAGGATGACGGTGCTGATGGGCCAAAGAATCTTTTAAGTTGAATCACTGTCTACTTGAAGAACTGGCCACTCTGTACGCAGTACCACCTCATGTTGAACTTCAACAATGTCTCCGCAGCTACATTATTTTATTCAGGTTTGTGCAAGTGGGTTGGAGCCATGGTGATGTATCATGAAGCCGCGAAGATTGTTAAACCTAAAATGGATTATTTGACTGTCCAGACTGCAAGGTATGGCACTCCAAATGCGCACTACTGAGCTTCAAGCGTTCAGTGATTGAGTGAGGCACTCTGGCAACATTGAAGGGCATTTCAAGCCTTCGAGCTCCAGGCAACTTGAGTTTTGTCTCCACACACGTCACTGCGCAGGGTTGAGGCCGCTTTGCGCCAATTAAGCGAAGCAGAAGAGGAACTCAGAAAGGCTCAGGCCGTGTTGGATGAAATCAACCGTCAGTTTCAACAGGCTCTTGCGTCGAAACGAGAACTGGAACAAAGGGCACAAGCAACCAAACGTCGTATGGAACAGGCAAACAAGCTCATCAACGGACTTGCAGGAGAGAAGGCTCGATGGTTAGTACACACTAATGAAAACTACTTGCAGTGCTCTTTACTCACGAATAATTAGTGTCACTGACCTCGAGCGAAACTCCTGCAATATTTGCAGGACCGAAGATTCAAACACGTTTGCAGAGCGGAAAAAGAAGCTGATTGGTGACATCTTGGTAGCGGCAGGTTTTGTATCTTACTGCGGCCCGTTCAACGCTGAGTACAGAGAGCTGCTCAGAAAGCAGTGAGTCGGCGGAATTTGCACTACAAAAGTCCACTGGCGACAAATATGCAAGTCCTCCTGTAGTTGGCGGAATTTGCACTAAAACAGTTCACTGACGACAAATATGCAGGTCCTCCTGTAGTTTCCTTTAAGTGCATCGATTAGGCGATGCAAAATCGTAGTGGCAAGAAATATGGGGGTCTTCTCCTAGTGTTTTGGAGGTGCATGGAATAGGTACGCTGCGATTTCACGAATCCTAGCATGCTGCACGAGCTGTTGTCCGCCGTCAGGATCATATTTCAAGAAGCCAAGAACAGCGGCATTCCATGTTCTGACTCCCTCAATATTGTGGACCTTCTTGTAGACGAGGGGACACGCGGCGAATGGAACTTACAAGGGCTGCCTGCAGACGAATTATCGGTGGAGAATGCCATCATCGTAACCAGGTCAGACAGATACCCCCTCTTGGTAGATCCTCAGGGACAGGCTCACAGCTGGTTGAAAAAAAAAGAGGAAGACAGGATGAAAGGGTCTCGTCAATGCATAACAACTGCGACAGATCCCCGGTGAGCTGGGTGGGCAGCACTGTGCTCCTGATACTTTCGTTGGACAGACAAGCACGTGCATTTTGCCCACCGTAGGAGCACGAGCTGTTTTCTTTGAAGCCGCTTGACGCTGCTTGTGTAAATTTTCGTCTACGGATGGTGTTCAGGAGCTTAAAGTGCATAGAAGCATAGCCGCAGTATGTTTAATATTCCTAATTTTGATCAGGTTCAAGGATAAGGTCGAATTCTGCATGGCAGAAGGGCTGCCATTACTTGTCGAAAACCTTGGCGACACTGTCCCGGAGGTTCTTGACCCGATCCTTGAAAAACAATTCATTAAAAAAGGCAAGAGGCTTTATGTGACATTCATGGACCAGCAAGCGGAATACAATCCAAGTTTTGTCCTCTACATGACAACAAAGCTCGCGAATCCTCATTTTCCTCCAGAGATAAACGCGAAGTGCACGGTGATAGACTTCACTGTCATGCATGAAGGTACGCTTACAGAGGTGATCGCAGCTCTTTTCCTAAAAGACCGCGAGTTCTAGCTGACGTCACGGCATTGCACGCTTGCGCGAGGATGCTTATACACAGGTCTCGAGCAACAGCTGCTTGGGCGTGTTTTGTCCATGGAGCAGCGCGCACTAGAAGAATCGCTCAATCAGCTTTTGGAGTCGCTAACGGCTAACACAAAGGCATTGAAAGAATTAGATAGCCAGCTTCTGGATCGCCTTTCCCATTCCTCTGGCAATCTGTTGGATGATCTGGAACTGATTGAGGTGCTTGCAAATACCAAGGCAAAGGCAAAAGAAGTCGAGAAAAAGCTCAAGGATGCACAAGAAAAGAAAGCAGAGGTAACGCTTAGACGGCAGAAAAAAAAATCACGACAGGCCTTACTCTCGGCGAAACAAAATAACGTACCGAGGACATATAACATTTTATTCGGAACTAACAAGCAAGAATGCGTAGAATCTTGTGCCGTCTGCTGAATGGGGATGTACTACAAAAGCCTCCGGAGTTACTGCTCTCTTCAGATTAACGAGAAACGCGAGCAATATCGCTCCGTGGCAACAAGAGGATCCGTACTATACTTTTGTATGGTGGAGGCCTCTTTGATATGCTGGATGTACAACAGCTCCCTCACGCAGTTTCTGGAGCAATTCGATATCTCTGTCTATAGGTCTGAAAAGACACAGCCAACCCATAAGCGCGTGGAGAAGATAGTTGAGTACCTTACTTACCAGGTGAGAACGGCATGCAGGCCTACGTTGCCAAGATAGCTCGTTCTTGCCTTCTACAGCTGATGGTTATTGCTGTAGTCCAAAGGGTGTCTCTAAAGTACCTTTTCGCTTCTGTTGACTCTCATAAGCTTGAAGCTCTTCGGATTCCGTGGCACACGACAAGACGTAACCGTATGCGCAAGGCTGCCCCGTTTTTGATACAGTTGTACAGAAACGTCTGTAAAGAATTTTTCAAGCTGCACAAAGAGGCGTTTCATATAATGCCGGCTTTGAAACATTTGTGCACTGATTTTGTGCGTCAGTCTTTTCACATTGCCTGGCTTTCGCTGCTTCCGATACAGGTCTACAGATACGTCTGTAGAGGACTTTTTGAGCGGCACAAGCAGACTTTTGTCATGATGCTAATTTTAAAAATCTTGCAAACCGATGGTATTCTCCAGTCATCAGATATTTCCTTTCTACTAAGCGGCGGCGCAGGTGAGCTTTACGTTGTTAAGAACTGCCAAAGCATTGGCACCTTTGTTGGCCGCTTGTACTTGGCACTTGCCACGGAATCGTCTGATCCTTTCAAGAATTTTCGTTTCATTCGTCCGTACGATCTTACCAAGAGTATACGAAACTTTCTTGCGGCCATGTACAATACTGTATGCAGGCCTCGATGAGAAAGCAGAGCCGCCATGTCCCTTCAGATGGCTAGGGCAAGACTCAAAGGCGTGGCTCAACGTCTTGCAAATCTCCAGGACATGCTTTGGCCGAGACCAAATTCAGCTCTTTTGCGAGCTTCCAGAGTCCCTCGGGAAAAACGAATCAGCATGGAGAAAGTGGATGGAAGACAACGAACCCGAAAATCTTCCCATTCCAGATTATGAAGACCGACTTAAATGTTTGAAAAACCTCGGGCATGTTCTGAGGCTGTGCCTAGTAAGCTGATGCGAGCATTGCCACCAATATAGTCAGCAGGCATCCGCAGTAGCCTCAATTTGCCAATGTGCAGCATCAAACACGACGCCTTCAAAACACTGACCGTCTCCAGAATGTATACGCAGATTCGCTCTATGAGGCCCGATCGAACCGTGGTGGCATCGGCGCGTGCTATTGATCAGCTGCTGGAGCCAAAATATACAGAGCCTGTTACAGATTCCGTGGAATCAATATGGCAAGAATCATCGTGTCGCGTCCCCGTTATATTTTTGCTGTCCCCCGGCACCGACCCCACATCGAGCATTGACGAGCTTGCGAAAAAGAAGCGAAAGTTTCCGACGGACAAAGTTTCAATGGGTGAAGGACAAGATGTCGTTGCGAGAGAGAAAATCAAGTCCGGTTTCCTTTCTGGCAGTTGGGTTGTTCTACAAAATTGCCACCTAGGGTTAAATTTCATGAGCGAAATCGAGGACCTTCTTCTTAGGGTCACTGATATTAACAAGGCAAGTGCCCCAGCAGGCATTGGCACCCACGGGAAAGTAGATGTAGTTCCTGCAGGCAATCCCATCCCGCACCATTCCTGTCAGACGGGGAAACACGCATCTTACGGCCTGCCGATACCTACTTTGTAATCACTATGCTCGCTTTTTCACTCCATTTTTATTCCAGGACTTCCGCCTGTGGATAACGTGCGAGCCTCACAATAAGTTTCCTATAGGGCTTCTACAGCTGGCGATCAAAGTCACTAATGAGTCACCCATTGGACTCAAGGCTGGGCTTGCAAGAAGCTTCACAACAATGATAACACAGGAAACGCTGGACAAAGTAAACAATGAGAAGTGGCGCACTATTGTATTTGCCCTTGCAATGCTGCATAGCGTTGTTCAAGAACGGAGGAAATTCGGCCCACTGGGTTGGTGCATCCCTTACGAATTCAACTACTCCGACTTGGAGGCATCGCTGTTCGTTGTGGAAAAGCATCTCGCAGCCACAATTTTAGTAGGGCAGCCGCTTTCCTGGTCCACCATAGGGTACATGGTTGGGGAGGTGCAGTATGGAGGACGCATCACAGACGACCTGGACAGAGAGGTAATGTTTGTAAAGTAGCTGATACTAAAACCGACGTAAAGAACATGACGGGACGGTTTCGCTGCTGGCCAATGAAATTGCTTGTGTGTGTGTGTGTGTGTGTGTGTGTGTGTGTGTGTGTGTGTGTGTGTGTGTGTGTGTGTGTGTGTGTGTCTGTGTGTGTCTGTGTGTGTCTGTGTGTGTGTGTGTGTGTGTGTGCGTCTGTGCGTGTGTGTGTGTGTGTGTGTCTGTGTCTCTGTGTGCCTACGGTCAGATGTTCAACACTTACACGGGGAAATGGCTGACAGACGACTTATTCAAGTCCGGCTTTTGCTTCAATAGTGCCACGTCCAGTGCTCATGATTTCATGTACAAAGTTCCTCAAGGCACCGATATCTCAGTCTTCCGTGACTACATCAACACGCTGCCTTATGTAGATCAGCCGGGAGTTTTTGGCCTGCACGTAAATGCTGACCTGACATTTCGCTTACAGGAGTCGGCCTCCATGCTCGACACTATACAAGTAGGTCAGATTGTGCAGGGCATATCAATCAACCCGCGCTTTTGCGGAAGGTCCTCAGCTTTCATGCTTGCTGAATGCATTGGTCAGCACTTAACCGAGCTCATCAGGCAGGAACTGCTTAGTATTTTGCTCAGGATACACTTCCAAAAGCTTCTTCGGGAGGCAAGGGAAAGTCACAGGAAGAAACTGTGCGCGAGAAGTGCGTTGAAATGCTAAGCAAGATGCCAGAAGACTTTCAAGAAAGGGTTTACAGAGAGCAGGTGTCCAAGCTTTCGGGACCTCCTGCGCTGAACGCGAAGGGATTTGCTGCGCCTTTAAACATTTTCCTTTACCAAGTTAGCTACGCTTACCTAGATATGCTTTGACAGAAAACAATTCTAATATATCTCGAAGTTGTGTTTTAATTCATAGAGCAGTCAATATTTACCTATGCCAAAGGCGTCTGGTCTAGTTATACTTTAGAATCATGGTGGCATGGAACTCGCAAAGCTGCTTTCAAGGGTGCCGTATTCTTAGGAAGTGCAGCGGATGCAACGGATTTTGACTATCGTGCGCGCCAATTTGTCCTCAATTATTAATGCGATTGACGGTACTGTCATCATGACTCCAGATTTGCAGGTGCGTAAGGTGCTTCCTCGGGCAGCTGCACGCTGCCTGCAGAGCATCCAATCTCCAAATAAAGTGTGTTCAGCTTCCCGCATGAAATGCTAGTAGCGCGAAGCAACCGGAGATCTAGCAACACGATCGTGTATACAAGCATAGCGATTGCTTCTCAGGATGACGTGACTGCCATTTTCGATTTGCGGGTGCCGCATCGCTGGATGAGAGACCCAAGTGGCGCGGAAATATCGTGGCTGTCGCCCACGCTGGGGAAGTGGTTTTCAGGCATGCGGCTAAGAGTTGAACAGCTATGCAACTGGCTTGAAAAAGGCAGACCCAAATCATTCTGGCTAGCAGGCTTCTTCAATCCCACGGGTTTCCTTACAGGAATGATGCAGGAAGTAGGTAGCTACGTCTTCAGCACAGATTGTTGCCGATCTTCTATCACCTATGCCCAGACATACAAAACTCCGATGTCGTTACGTGCTACTGCTCAGGTTACCCGACAACACAAAAAAGACCAGTGGGGACTTGACGACGTTGTCCTGCACTCCGAAATGCGGACCGTCGATGTTGAGAAAATTAAAGATATTCCAGATGAAGGGGTCAACATTCATGGTTTGTATATTGAAGGATCCCGGTAAGGAGCTTGCCTCCGGCAGCCGTTGGCGGCCAACGGCAATCAGATAACTAATCACATTCGCATGGATGTTTACAGGCAAAGCAGAGTGAGTTTTCATATAAATGCATATTCACTCTCCAACTGCAGGTGGAATTGGCACGAGGCCAGGCTGGAAGAGTCTTTGCCTAAGGTCATGGTTGACAGGATGCCTGTTGTACATGCTACGGCAATTACTTCTACTGAAAAAAGGAACAGGGGCCTAGATTATGGACAGTTTGAACCGTATGACTGCCCAGTGTACAGGTATCCAAGTAGGACGGATAAATATTTGGTCTTCCGTGTACAGTTGCGCTCGGATTTGCACCCATCTCACTGGAAACTCCGAGGTACTGCCCTGCTTTGCTCTACAGAGTGAATGACACGACTGACTTTCCCGAAAATCGGTTCATTTTTTTGTACCACTGATATACAGCAGTGGCACATAGTTGAAGAGGCTACGTGCCTGCTTTACTATTTCCTGTGCGGCTAACCTATTTTAGCAATGGCAGTTGCCTCAGTATTATGAAATAGATC